GAGACTGGGTTCTACAGCGATTTCCCTCAGCCCAAGTGGAGTCTCAAACATTTCACGGCCAGTTGCGGTTCTCAGTCACGGCATCAGATGTGCTGCAAAGATCTCAGCTGAGCCAACAGAGCAGAAGAGAGATGCAGAGTAGGGAGAACTGCCAGTTGAGTGCAATCGGTCAGCTTATCGTGATGTTGGAGGAGAACAAGGATATCTTGGGCATCGAGCATCAAAGTGTCAGTCCCACGACGTTGAACGACGTCTTCCTTTCCATCGTTGGGCAGCATAATGTGCAAGAGGAGGGTTACGGAACAACTGCTACTGAGAATGGAAAGAAGAAGATCGATTGGCGAAAGATCTTACTTGGATTTTAGCCGCCGCTCGCTATGCAATGCTATCGTTGCTGCCTTGTAAGACTAGAGATGATTTGAATGGCCCTGAGAGCTGTTGAATCTAGACTTTATAAGTCCCTTATCGTAATGTCTCCCCCACATTCGTTTCAACGTACTAGGATGGTATGATGTTGTGACCCCTCCAATCCACGGAACAATCATTCAGAGGTCGAAACACAGCGCATAGTAATATTGGATACCTGATCACTCAGGTAACTGACTACTTTCTGGCACATGGAGAAATCCCCTTGATAGGAAATGCACTTGTACAACCTTGAGGTCTACTCAAGTCAGGTTATACACAGCCTGGCCCTTTCTGCCGAGCGTCTAACTTGTGGTTGGGACTGGAGAGAAGCAAGTCAATGGTTCGAGTGGGCTACTCGAGTAAGTAGATGAAGGTATCAATAGATAGACTTCTCTTCATCGGGAATGGAGACTGTCGCAGTCCTACTGGTATTACCTCAACCATTGTAGTGAATGGCGTCCTCGTCAATCACCACTTCCTCATATGCATCTTGGCGAGCTCCACTTCAAAGTTGAAGTGGCTACGATGGAGCCGATCTGCCTTACAACATGTCAAGCCATGTCAAAAGCCTCAAGATTCTATAGCATACGAAGCCGCGGACGAAGTTCTCCGGCCGGTTGCCACAAACAAACAGATTGGGCGCGCTGTGGGATTTCCTGAAAAGACTAGAGTTACTGAGGAGACTCTTTGAAAGCTCTTTACCCCACCTGGCTTAGTTGACATCTATTTGACGTCAAGATGCTTGCCTTAACGCAGGGGAATGAGACTGATCATGAACCCGCTTTGAGAAATATGGGTAGGGCAAGCTGATGCTCATTGATCAAGTTATTGGTGACTCCTGCATGCAAAGTGGAGCGTCTGATCTGTTGGTTTGAAAGGTCCGATGGCCTGCAGAGACTGTCAAGATTGATACTCTACTTGAGAAGGCGAGTTGATCCCTGACTGAGAACCGATTAAACTGAGCCTGGACTTCAGCTGAGAAGACGATCACCCGAATGACCCACTAGATAAAGTAATGTTCTGGCCGACCGAGCAAAGCCCACATTGACTCAAGGGACACATGTATCAGAGCATTTAAATGACGAATTATTATCCATCCGGACTAACATGTCCGCTCTTGATCTCCACAATTTGTGCTGGTGAGGTCACATAACTGTGGGTAACTATGTCAATCATAGGCCATCAAAAACACACTGCCGGAGGTTTTGCGACGGAAGGCGACCTTGCTCTTAAGTACAAAACATGCAGTTCAGTAACTGAGTTCAAAGTTTCGAAGAATAGGCCAGAGTCATTCATCTACCTACAGGCTACCGCAACTGTGCAACGTCCGAAATGCACATAGATACCGACGTCGACAACGGCGGTCACCGAGAACCCGGCGCCGCAGCGCAAGTCTCCCGAGACGACCAGTCAAACAGCGTGCTGAATAGCCTCGATACTCAAAGGGCAGACCTTGTCGGGAATTGGATGAAAAGTCGCTTACCTGAGCACGAAAACCTTCCATCGCAATCAGTCAGCTGGTGGGACCCAGGGTTGGCAGCAGTAAGTGCAGCCCAACATAGGCTCAGCCTCGAAAACCTTCACAGTGCCTAATGGAATTTACCTTGTGCTTGCTTAGTTACGAAAGCATATCTCTATGATGTGGTGCAGAAACAGTAAGTCTCATGCGCGCTCTACGCGCTCACTTGCAGCCACAGCTCACCATCTTCAGCTTTCATCATCTGTTTCTCGATGTTCCTCATCCTCTGCCTTTATTGGGGCATTGTGTTTCGCATCGAGGAAAACCTCACCTCTCTCCTCTGTTTTGTTGTCGATTTTGATGGCAAATCTACTCCCTACAACGGTATCACGCCTTTAGTAGGTCCGACGGTCACAAGATTGGCGAACGAGACGCTGTGGAGCCCCATACCATCAATCGGATATCAAATACGCGATGCAAACGAGTTCGAATTCGACCCCATGAAGGTTCGCGAAGCGGTCTATCACTTCAAGGCCTGGTCAGCAATCATCATAAATCCAAACGCAACAGCTTTATTGCAAGAGGCAGTCTCGATCGGAAACTCTTCCTACGATCCAACAGGCGCAATTCAAATCATCACCATGTCTGGCCGAGATTCATTTATGACATATAGCTACATCTTGCCAAGCCTCACGTCCTTCACGTCAAGTTTGACAGAAACATTCGGCAAAACATGGGGCGGCATGGTAATGGCCAATGACTCCCTGACAAAGGAGACTCTTCGGCAGGCCGCGAGTGCCGTCAACCCCGGGGTGTCACCTTTGATGTTAGATCTGCGGCCGTTCGGGCCGCCTGCGGCAATCCCGGCAGTTACCTTTGGGTTAAGCTTTCTTATCGCCCATCTCGGTTTCACCTACTACCTTGCAGACGACATGGTAAGTCCGAGCTTCTGATGCTTTGATACAAAACTGATAACGAGGTTGGTATGTAGAAATGCATTGTGCCTGAGGGTCATCCTCCCGTGCACTACTGGCACTACGTCATACGCAGATATTTATCACTCATGGCAGCCTACTTCTTTTTGTCGCTGGTCTACTGTTTGATATCGCTTGTCTTCCAAGTTCCCTTATCCAATCCGCCAGCTTCGGCAGTGGAGGTCGCTAAGAATCCGAACGCTTATGGGAAAGCCTCGTTCATCGTCTTCTGGCTGTTGAACTTCTTCGGCATGGCAGCACTCGGAATGGCCTGTGAGAACATGGCCATGATTATCGGCCCTCGATGGGTTGGTTTGTGGTTAACGTTTTGGACTCTCACGAACACGTTGACCGGATTCTGGCCTCCCGATATTGCCCCAGGGTTTTACCGGTGGGCGTATGCATGGCCTTATCATCATGTGATTGAAGGCAGCCGACAGATTTTGTTCGACTTGCACTCGCGCATTGGCCTCAACTTTGGCGTTTTGATTGCGTGGGTGTCGGTAAACACGATTTTGTTCGTCCCCGCATGTTACATCTTGAGGTGGAAAGATGAAAAAGAGATACGTCGAAAGGAGACAAAACTTCCACACTTTCACTTGCACAGGTATGATTTCGAGAAGCAAATTCCCAAGCAACCGTGAGTTGAGCCGCCAAGACGGAAAAGGGGATTTCTTCGGGCTTTGTGAGGGTGTCGCGATTTGACTAAATAGTTGATAGCTCTTGGAACATGGCATGTAACAATGTGCTGCAAGATGGCACACTGGAGTAACGCTGTGACTGCAAAACTCTCAATACAAGAGACGTAGCAAACGCGGGTGTCGCAGTGAAGACGTGTCATAGCATAGCAAGGCGGATTATGGCATAACTCCTTACGCGACCACAAGCCCATGGGTCATCTTCAGGACCCTTCGCTGAACTTACGTTTAGATGCAAGTGATAGCCGTTGATTTTGACCATGCAGCTGTATCCGATTATGGAACCGATGATAGGATTGACTCTCTCGGGACGCGTTTCACTCGAAGCATCCCTCGCGGAACACTAATTATTGGCCGTGCGAAAACATCTGACGACCCCATTCCACCACCCAGGTCGCCTCTCGTTCGCCTTGGCAACAAATAAGTATGAGATCACATGAACGCCATAGTGTACACCGTCTGTACATAATCATTGGTGATCCTGGGGGTCTTTGGTTCTGATTCGCTATCGAAGTTAGAGTTGAAGGTGGCATCGGAGCTGCGTGAGTGCGGCGTGGATATGCTGGCAACCATGATCTAGGTGGTATTCGTAATCACCCCTCTCGGAATTCTGGCGCTCATGCTTGCATGCCTAGAAGCAGCCTGCAGTTACACGACATACTTCAATAACCTGACTTCATCATTGTGCTCTGTCATCCTGTAACGGCTTTGACGTCAAAGTAGTGAAACCCGTTGTCAGCAACTCGGTTCCGAAGAGTCCGGATGAAAACCAACTGTCCCAAGCGTTTGATGAAAACATAGACTGTAACAGGTAACATACCAACTCGCAAAGGGTAACCAGATTTCCTTTCCGGCTTGCGACGTGGGGAAAGGCCTTTTGCCTCGAAATTCAGATGGTCGAGTGAAGTTAGTGTAGACCCAAGGTTGGGAAAGCGGTCCCACTGGGCGGGCGTGGCAGACTCCAAACCATATTCAGCACAAACCCCAGCAAAATGCCAACCCTCAGTTCCACGGCCGCCCACCTCAATGCGACTCAATCTGTGTTGAACTGTGGGAAAAGACTAAAATCCCAAGAAATCCAAGTGTTCTTCCTCCCGTACCCCGCATTCTTGGGCCGAACGTGCCACCCTTGATGGGCACCTGGGTCAGGGTCATTGGACGAAGGCCACCCGGGACAGGGCTGGGCTTTAATGCAGAAGACATCTGCCGAAGAAAGTCTGAAGGTGATAAACTGTCCGTGCCAGCTATTCAAACTTGCTTCCCGCTCCTTAGTGGCTTTGGATAGATAATAATAGGGGCCGGTCACTACCTTGACCCCTCATTGAAGCTACACTAAATGGGCTTGGCCGTTTTCAACGTCGCATCCACAAGCTGCTAGGCAAATTTTCCAGCCGTCAACGTAGTATTTTCGGAAGGTCGCGTTCAAAGGATTCCGAGCATCGTCTCGGCCCAGCTGTCAAGATGGTGCTCTCCACAATAGACGAGATACCAATCGAGTTTGATAAGAAACGTAAGCTTCCCTCCCTACCCCTCTCTGTTTGCTGGCGCAGGAGTAATTCTCAGTATTCGTGACAGAGCCAGGCCTTAACGATTGACAATGTCTAAAACAGAGTATAACGAGCCGACGACGGTCGATGTCAAGTCCGAGTCTATCCAGTATGCGGGCGAACCCGTACAGTTGGAGTGGACGGAAGAGGAGGAACAGGTCATCAAGCGTAAGCTCGACTGGCACACTGTCCCACTGGTGACGACCTTGTACCTTCTCTGCGTATGTGATTTTCTCCTCCCGTCAAAAATTAGCTGGCTGTCGCACCGCCACTGACTTGCCTATCTTCGGGGTAGTTTTTGGATCGAGCGAATATCGGAAATGCCAGGATCCAGGGCATGGCCAAGGATATCAACCTTGAAGGATACCGGTTCAACTGGGCCCTGTCAATATTCTACATCATCTACCTTCTAGTCGAAGTACCGAGCAACATTATTCTTAAACGCGTCGGCCCACGATTCTACCTGCCATTCCTTGTCGTTGGGTTTGGTTTAGTCTCACTCTGCACGGCTTTCGTACGCTCATATGAAGGACTCATCGTTGCCCGCGCCTTCCTGGGAATCTTCGAAGGCGGTGCCATGCCAGGGTTCTCCTTCTTTCTGAGCAGCTTCTACAAGAGAGAAGAACTCTTGTTCCGGCTGGGAATCTTCATTTCAGCAGCGTCATTAGCTGGCGCATTCGGTGGCCTGCTTGCCACTGGTCTCTCTCGCATTCCGGAATGGGGGTTCGACAGTGCACCTATCCATACATGGAGGAACATATTCTTTTTCGAGGGATTCGTCACAATGCTCTTCGGAGGCTTCGCACCTCTCTGGATGCCCACAAGTCCCGCCACCGCTTACTTCCTTGACGAAAGACAACGAGCAATTGCGGCAGAGCGTCTGCAGCGCCAGCACAAGGCCGATGTTGATCAGAAAGTCACTCTTTCCGACGTGAAGCGAGCCGTGTTTTGCATCCATAACTATACATGCGCCTTCGGCTTTTTCCTGATCAATATCACTGTCCAGGGAATTTCGGTATTCATGCCGACCATTCTTGCCGACTTAGGCTGGACCGCGACGCGAGCACAGCTGTACTCTGTACCGCCTTACGTTGTGGCTGCTATCACAGCCATCATCATCGCGTGGTTCAGCGACCGAACACGTCAACGCGGTATATACCTTGCCGTATTTTCGATGATTGCTGTTATCGGTTTCGCCATTTTGCGATTTGCAACCGAGGCTAACATCAGATATATGGGCGTAAGAGCTCTCTGTCCTTTTGTCTGCATCCTGCGTATATTCACTAACGATCTCAGGTATTCTTCGTCACAGCAGGTGCTTTCCCAGGTGGTCCAGGATTTTGTGAGTCAACACCTTTTTGCTGTCTGATTCTTTTGCTAACATCGTTGCAGTGAGTTGGGCGATGAATAGTAAGTCTATGACCTTCGGTCGGACTGAACAAAGTGAAACAAGCTGACGCACTCGACAATAGACTCGGCAGGCCCTTCCGTACGCGCAGTAACCAGTGCCTACGTTGTCTCCATTGGCACCATGGGTGGAATCGTTGCGACGTAAGTAGAGGTCTCCAAAAACCTGCCAAAAGGCTATGACAACGCACATCAGTCTTTGGTTTTGATCAAGCCATGCCTGAAATTTTACTGATGTTTACAACAGGTGGACCTACACGTTCAAAGACGCCCCGAAGTACTTCACTGGACACACGATCAATCTTGTCGGACAAAGTTTAACAGTTCTGTTGGCAGTGTTCGGCATATTCTATTGCTTATATGAAAACAAAGCCAGAGCTGCTGGAAAGAGAGATCACCGCCTGGATGGACGGACAGAAGCTGAACAGAGTCAACTTGGTTACAGGCACCCATCATTCCGCTACATGTCATAGGGTAATCAATCGAGGTAGTTTAGCAGCTGAGTGTTCAATTCAAACTCATCCCATCCAGCACAAAGTTGTGCCCTTCAAGTGAGCCATTGCGGTGCCTTCCTGATGGTACCCAAAAACCGTAGGCGTGCATAAGTGCATGTAGCTAGCCTACTTGTCGCAGTAGTTACACGTGATAGATTATGCAGGTGAGATTTATCGTCCTGATTGAGAAAACCCATCTGGTTCTTCATTTAGTTGCATATTCCCCCGCATTTAGTTAGACCAGTCCTGTTCAGCTTCAGAACGCCCCAAGTTGATGTTTACGGTAGGCTCTTATTGGCTTGAAACCAATCCTTACAGATACGATGCGGCTCCTGAACACACGAACGAAGGAACTGCGCGTTTTCACCCACTCTCGCATTCCATATGCTATCCTGTCTCATACTTGGGGCTCGGAAGAAGTCACACTTCAGGACCTGCTCGCTGGAAACGCGTCTAGTCTTGAAGGTTATACGAAACTGGATGGGGCTTGTAATCAGGCATCGTCGGATGGGTTCGACTACATAGTAAGTTGAGCCTGGCAACCCAGTGTCCCTGACCCTGAGCTCCCGCAACAATAGCAAGGTTCCCATTAATTGACTTCGCAGTGGATCGACACTTGTTGCATCGACAAGACAAGCTCATCTGAGTTGACGGAGGCCATCAATTCCATGTGGGTCTGGTATCAAAACTCTCGTGTCTGTTATGCATACCTTGAAGACGTCACCCAGGAAGATGTTGATGTTCTCGGTGGCTACTCTAAGAGCTTCATGAATAGTCGGTGGTTCACGCGTGGCTGGACGCTTCAGGAGCTCATTGCACCTTCCACCGTCGTATTCTACTCAGATGACTGGTACGAAATTGGTACACGAGACCAGATGCGAGAACCTCTGGGGAAGATTACCGGTATCGACCACAAGTTCTTCGAATATGGAATCCTAGGTCGATACAGCATCGCCCAGAGAATGTCCTGGGCTGCGAAGAGAAAGACTACCAGAGTCGAAGATCAGGCGTATTGTCTGCTTGGGTTATTCGGGGTTAGCATGCCTCTACTATACGGCGAAGGTGAAATGGCGTTCATCAGACTTCAGGAAGAGATCATGAGGCGAACGGATGACCAGTCAATATTTGCCTGGTTGTTGCCTGGACATTCAGACAGGCCGTCTCGCAACACTGGGTTTCTCGCCAAGTCCCCCTCTTGTTTTGATCAGTCTGGCAGCGTCACCAGGATCGATGCCGACCATCGCGTGGCACCGTATTCGTTCACAAATAGAGGCATCCAGATCGAGATGCCGATACTAGACCCGAGCAGCTCGAAATATGGCTTCTCATTCATCCCCGGAGATAACAATGAGCAGATTGGTTCCGCTGCAGGAATCTCATTCACTTTCTCTCCAACGAGCACGATAGCTATACTCAACTGTAACAAAGCGGGCCGTCAGATAGGGCTCTATCTCGAGAGAAAAAACGATCTTGAGCCATTCTACAGGTGCAGTCACAAGCTGGGCTTTGTCTCAGTTCCAGATAATTGGGTTAAGCAGGCAAGACTTGAGACCATCCTCGTCAGGGCTGAAGATCCGGAAGATATGGAATCGCTGTGGGGCAAAGATTCCGATGCGCAGCATATCGTCGTGGAGTTGCCACAAGAACTGGATCCTGGGTACTACGACGTGAAGGCATCCCCGGCGGATCGTTGGGCCAGTAGTGGCCCCTGGAGCCACTCCATCATGCTCTCTTACGACGTTGAAACTAGCGGCAAAGAAGAGGTCCCTTATCTACATGTTCAGAACGCAGAAACTGAAAACGGCTTCTGTTTGTTCTTCAAGTTCAAGGCTCCAGGTCCGCATAACGCGTGTCTTCTGATGGACGTGGCCGCCGGAGAAACTCCAACCATTCCACAATCATCATCATTCATCGTTGCTGGTCCGCTAGCGGAAAGCCGCCTGGAAGGAGAGGGAAAATTGGGAAAAGTCACGGCTGAGCTGAACTCTTCACGATTTGCGAAGGTCTGGAAGATTACGATGGAAAAGAGTCAAACCACTTTGGATGCACTAGTCTGATAGCTTTGAAGTTGCTGGTGCACAATAGAAACATATGTCTCAGCTAAGTATTTCAAATACACGGCTGGCCCTGACAGGTACTAATCAGACAGTCAGAACGCCGTGATATCACTTCAAATTCTGTTCTCTGTTGACGTGGGGTCCCGGGCCATGTGTTAGCAGAATCTACTGCGACATGCCTTGGTTGGTCTTGACATTGCATCGGCTTCTTCATCAAAGCTGGGATCGAGGTTCCGCAACCTAATCGAGAGATGCATCATGATTCTCAAGCTAACATAAGATCGAGGGTGCTAAACGCTCAGTACAAGTTCGAGAGCCGCCGACGCTAGATAAAAAGCACGAAGGCCGAGACGCCCGCCTGCTTACTTACACAGATTGCAGACTTACCTTGGACAGGGGTAGTGTCTTTTCTAGCGCAACTCCGTGGCCTCTGATGTCATCTCGGAGCTGAGTCGAAAGCCCAATGTACCTCGTCGTGACAAGTACGTGTTCAACCAATCAAATGGCTGTACGGCGTAGCAATACCAGCGAAATTGTTAACAGGGACTTGGTCGTCTCACTGGATCTTTTGCACCACGCATCATCGACTTGCACGCTGGAGGATTTGACGTGGAATTGCCAAATTCGATGGGATGTACATAAAGCCAAGACACTGACAGCGGCAGAGGCGTACTCCAGCAGTTGTTTCGGTATTTTTGATTGAGTGTGTTTCAAGCCACTGAAGCAATCTGACCGTCAATCGGGGGAAATCCTTCTCAGTCTGCAGAAAGGAAGTCAATTCGCCCAACCCAGGAACAATGGCTAGGTCTCAGTCACCGACCTCACCGGCCCGTACCGAAGTCGATCACTCCAAGAACGATGGCCAAGACAACGAGGAAAACGGCTTGCACCATCGTCACCAAAAACCTCACCACTCTGTTGGATTCTGGCACCCATCAATGAAAAAGGTTCGCGCCCATGTCATTCGGTTATGGATTCAGACGATCAGCATCCTCTTTCTTTTCATCCTCGCAGTCTTATCAATGTACTGGGCTGTTCTCTTCCGTACCGAGGACAACCTGAGATCAATCATCGTCCATGTCGTCGACTTTGATGGACAGTTTTCTCCGTACGAATCAGTACAGCCAATTGTTGGGCCAGCAGTCGTACAGACCGCGCAGAAGTCACTGGACAAGCCAGGCCCGTCACTGGGATGGACTATCTTACCGCCTTCATATTTCAACAACGATCCTACAGCAGTGAGAATGGCCGTGTACGACTGGGATAGTTGGGCGGCTGTGATAATTCACCCCAATGCTACAGCAGCTCTCCAAGAGGCCGTTGCGACTGGAGATGCAAACTACGACCCCTCAGGCTCAGTGCAGATCATTATACAAACCGCGAGAGATTCGACAACGTACCAGAGCGACATTTCACCTTACATCACCCAATTTACGGAGCAATTTACGCAACAATTTGGAAAGCAATGGGGTCAGACTGTTATGTCCAACACGTCCTTGAGTCGAGATAACCTCGCGAGAGCATCTTCTGCTGTCAACCCCGGCATTGCGCCACTGATGATTGATCTACGCCCCTTCCAGCCTGCTACTGCTACACCTGCAGTGAGCATTGGTCTAATTTACTTGATCATCATGGCATTCTTCTCTTTCTCTTTCTTCTTGCCAATTCACTCAGTAAGTTGGCATAGTCATCGCATCGTGTTGATATACAGCTGCTAATCTACCCTACGTAGAAATACGTACAACCGCAGGGTCATCCACCTTTACACTTCTGGCAGCTCATCATCTGGAGATGGCTAGCTACGATCGTCGCCTACTTCATCATCTCCCTCAGCTATAGCTTAATATCTCTCGCCTTCCAAATACCGTTCAGCGCGCCCCCAGCTTCACCAACGGAGCCAGCCCCTACATTTGGAGCTACAGCTTATGGCCGCGGCACCTTCCCAGTCTACTGGATGCTCAACTTTGTTGGCATGTCCGCTCTAGGCCTCGCCTGCGAAAACGTCGCAATGATTATTGGGCAGCCATGGACGGCTCTGTGGCTCATTTTTTGGGTCATATCGAATGTTTCGACATCCTTCTATGCCATCGACCTATCACCCGGATTCTACCACTGGGGCTATGCTTGGCCACTCCACCAGGTTGTTGAAGGCAGTCGCCAGTTGCTCTTCGACTTGCACTCCAGGATCGGGTTAAACTTTGGCGTGCTTTTCGCCTGGACAGCAGTCAACACTGTGCTCTTCCCATTCTGTTGCTACTTCATGCGATGGAAGACGGAGCACGACAAGAGAAAGGCGGAAAAGGAAAAGGGTCGATATGTGGTTGAGACTGAGGATGGTGAGAAGGAGTATAAAAAGCCTGAAGGGCAGAAACCACCCATTAGAAAGCGCGGCTTCATGAGAGGTCTTTGATACCTCAAATGATCCATGCTTATCTCGACTAATTAAGAGTTATAACTATCCCATAGAATAATTAGTCATTTGAATATGAATCTAATTTTTCTTATGTTGCCAAGTTGAATACGCACTTGCTGCATTTATAAGCTCCCTTGCCATGGGCCTGGTGACATCAGGAACGTGAAGATTTCCACGTATCAAAATGTAACACCATGTGCATTTGCAAACATCATGTCAAAAAAAAATTGGCATCATGGCAAAATTCGTTCAGAGGGCCTTGCGGGAGCTACAGGGCTTGGCTTAGGTATTGTTAGTGGTGGCGGGGGGGTCTTAGCACGATCAGCGCTAAGATTTCACAGTGATCCTTAACTCTACAGCGGGTCCAGGCAGGGAGAAAATGGAAGTAAAGGACGTTATGCTATCGCTGCGGAACAAAGAGTTAGGTATACACAATATGCCGATTACCGAGGCATGCTCCAAAGCCCGTAATATTATCACCAGTACGCCGAAATGCCCAAATTCCCTGACTCAATTGAAAGCTTGGTTGCTCACAAGTTGGCGTGGGGCTTGTCGAAGGGGTCGCTCTTCATCGCTTCTTCGACCTCCTTGTACGCGTCGTACCCGTACAGCCAGGGCTGCACCTCAGGGCACGTCCACCTGCTAGGGAACGCCCCCTTCAGCTCCTTTCCAAGCTGTGACAAGAAGATTTGATCTCTGGCCTCTTGCTCAGGGCCGTCATTCATGTGGAAATCGTGGCGCTAGAGAATGTCAGAGACTATCGTACGAAGGATGCCCGGAGATCTAACGAGAGAAACTCACCTGCTTGAATGTTTCTCTAACAATAGATTCGCCACGAGCCTTGCGCAGCTTCTCGTATGACTTTAATGCTGCAGGAAGTTGCGACTTAGACTTGATGTGACCAAGGAGCAGTCCGAGGACAGCACCATCCTCCACAGCTGAGTTGGCACCCTGTGCAAGGTAAGGTAGCATGGGGTGGCATGCATCACCGCTTGACAAGCGTCAGTGAGGTTCGACATCTCATAATTGGAAAGGGTACTCACACAAACACAAAGTTTGACTTCTCGTTGACCCAAGAAGTCATTTCCTCCCCTGGAAACATGTTAGCTCATACTATGATGGGTCTGAACACGAAAACTTACTGTGCATCAGCTTCCACTTCTCAACACTGTCGACCGAGCTGAGGAATTTCTTCAATATCGGGTCCCACTCATCGAACCGGCTTTGCATCTCTTCAATTGATCCTGCTTGACGGCTCACACCCTTGGGAAGATCATCGGGTGTAAGCAACACCAGGTTGTACATCTTCTCCGCTCTCATCGAGTACCCAACGCAGTGAGCACCGGGACCGACCCAGAAGTGGACCTGAGGCTTCTGAATCCACTCTCTCAGCTCCGGATCCGTGACCTCATCAAGGTTGAGAACCACACGGTAGGCAAGGTCACCCGTTGCCAGGGGAGGATCGTCCTTCTTCAGGTAGCACGCACGCGACCGCGACCAGAGTCCATCGGCGGCGACGATGAGATCTGCCTTGGCCTTGATTCCAGACTGCGTCGTAAGCTCAGGAATGTCGAAGTCGATGTTCTCGACCTTCTCGCCGAGGTTGAATGCAACGCCGAGTTCCTTGGCGCGCTCATAAAGTGACAGCTGCAGGTCGACGCGGTGCAAGTCGATGAATGGTGCCTGATACTTTGCGCGAATATTCTTGTTGAAGTTCTCCTCCAACGCGAGCACTTTTCCAGAGTAGCGATGCACCACCAGATCCGTCGGCTCAGATGCCGATTTCCACAGTCTGTCTGGCAGACCCCATTTCTGGAGAATGCGCGTGGAGTTGGGCGTTACTTGCAGGCCCGCACCGACCTGGGGAATAATGTCAATAAACCTCATTTGGGGCCCTCGAACTTTGAGATGGGGCTCACCTCGAGGAGCTCCTTCGCGGACTCAAACACGGTGACCTTGTGTCCCGACAAAGCGGCTGCCACTGCGGTGGCTAAACCACTCAGCCCGGCGCCGACAACAATAATTTCCAGTTGGACTGGTGATCTGATATGCGCTGTGACCTTCATATTCATCGTCAGCATTGACGCGCGAAAAAACCCGTCTTCATGGAATGAGAACTCACCGCCATGTTTCCGTTGCTGTTGGGTGAAGATGCGTTTGCCCTGGGCGAAAACCAAGAGTTGAGCCAACGGAACATTTCAAACTTGCTTGGCGATGAGCTGCAGGTCGGTAAAGATGCAGAACCAAGATCTGGAAAAACACGTCGCGATGGCAGGAATCCCTTACCCTCAAATCCTCAAATCTTCAAGAGGTGGTTGCAGCTGGGTTCAGCAGTTCAACCCATGTTCTTTACTTTCGCGGACATAGGGGCGCCGGCAAGTCCCTAATGCAATCCCCGGAGATCCCCCACACAAGCCGGAAGCACGGGATGCGTCCCATGGGGAACAACTAATTGCTAGTAATTAGGTGGACGCCAGTGGCTGAAGGCGGTGGTCACAGGTGGACAGAAGTCTCGGGATATCCGAGGATCCACGGGTTATCCGCCAAAGTTGTGTCCCCAACAGCGCCAGTTCGACGACGAAGGTAAAGGTCACGGGAGAATAACCCAAAAAGGCTTTAGATTGGTGGGACTGGGCAGATGGAGGCGAAATCGGCAAAGCCGGCATGAGAACCAAACTGTCTCCAACTCTGGCACAGAAGCGATGGAACAGTCAGCTTCCAGACCATTTTGTGGGTTGACTTTCGGGTGCGACTTCGGCGGAGCTCAAGCCGCTATCTGCCGGATATATGGGAGTTGTTCAGCGGCCATCGGGAGAAAGGTGCGGCACATCATCGTGGACCAACATCACGCACGTACTTACGCGGCTCATTCTACCGGAAGACAGCCAAAACTATACTCCTTGCTCAATCATCTCACAACAAGCCGTTGCGATCAACCATCACAATCTTCAACGTCATCACTTGCCTTGTTCCATCACCCCTCATTCTCACAACAACCCCGCATCATGGCGCCCAAGGGTCCTTTCAAGCTTGTCACAGTCAACACCGCACCTGAGCGTGCGAAGAGGCTTATCGGCCGCATGACTGAGGCGCTCAAGGATCAGTACACGATTGACTATGTCGCCAACTGCGAGAGTAAGTTGAATAATTCATCCATAATGCAAACTCTGTAAGCTGACGGTATCGACAGCAATCGCCGAGGTCGAGGGCAAGGTGAAAGAGCACAAGCCAGACGTCCTGGTATGAGTAACCCCAGCCAATTGAAGCTTCTTCAACTAATCAGCCTGCGCAGTTCTGTGCGTCAATGTGGACAGCGGATGAGGCAGAGCAGATCCAGGCTACTGCGAGGTCAATTGTCCCGAACATTAAGACCCACGCGATCCCTCATGGGCTGCAGGTTGAGAGGGGGCCAGATGCTATTGTTGAGCACCTCCTTGAGAAGGTTCCTCAACTGCTCGAGAGCTAGTTCATCCACCACATTGAAGATGGAATGAATTGAATGAATAAAATCATCTAATAGAAACCTTGAGAAATGCTATATCCACTACCTTGATCGGGTATCAATCGCAGTAAACCTTCTGGGTGAGTGATGTTGTGCATCTAGCTTTGGATAGTTCATCGTAAATCTAAGAAAGGACTGTTTGACTGAGTACCAGGTGATGCAACTTTTGTTAAGGGAGGCGAGGGAAATGCAAACCATCCCATGGAAATATGAATCGTCGTGGCGTGGGATAGGAACAAACAATGCACATAGTCATCCGGGATTCAGGGGGCGTGAAGTGCCATCAACGATAGGAGCTTGGAATCTTGCAAGACAGTCATGTTGGGAATTCATGTATCATTTAGTCTAATCCAGATGAGCAGCTCATCAGTTGTGTCCTTTCACTCAATGATTTCGCCAAGTCTTCGTGCACCTCAATTCATTTCATATCGCCTTGTCCTACACGTGCTCTCGCATCTACTGTCCAACCTCATTCTGGAAGGTGTTGACCAACGTGCCGATATGGGGAAGAATCTCAACGTGGAACTCGTCAGCGTCCTTCAGGGTGACCTTTGGTGTCCGGCCCAGGCCAACTCCAGCAGGAGTTCCGGTAATGATTACTGTTCCAGCGGGTAGGGTTGTGCTTTGAGACAGGAAGCTGATGAGCTTCGGGATGCTGAAGATGAGGTCGCTGCAAGGCCTGTCAGTATTGATGAAAGGTTATGAGAGCAAGTGAACTTACTCAATGGGAGAGTCCTGGAGAACTTCGCCGTTCTTCAAGCCACGCATCTTCAACTTGGTTGGGTCAGGAATGAGATCCTTGGAAACCAACGTAGGGCCTGTTGGAAAACATCTTGTTAGTTTCATGATCCCGTCTTCCCAAATACCCTAGGATAACTCACCCAATGGACAGGATCCATCGAATCCCTTAGCGAAGCACCATTGCGACTGGTTCAGTTGGTACGTCCGGGAAGAGACGTCGTTGCAGGCAGTATAACCCAAGACATAGTCCAGAGCGTTGGCCTCGGAGACGTTCTTAGCGGTCTTGCCCAACACGACGGCGAGCTCAGACTCGTAGTCGCCGCAGTCGTCAGCCTGGGTAAGCAAAGGAAGTACCGTAGGCGCGGGCCATGGATCTCCTAGTGCAGTGCTTGGCTTCCTGTACAATGAGTTAGCACTGATTCTCCAGCGGTTTACACCGAACCGGGTGATCTTACAGGAACACAGTTGGGACTGTGGGCAGTGCCAGACCAGTCTCCTTTGCGTGTTGGACATACTGTTTGTGGTTAGCTTCATGTCTCTGGCCAGAGTAGTATTGGCTACTCACGTTCAAGCCGATGCATCGGATCGTTCCGACCTCCTCGGCAGAGACGGGTGAGAGGACGCGGTCAATGACGGCCCGCTCCTCGGTCTTGGAACCCGGCTTGATGACGCTGGATCCGGACCACACCACAACCTTCACTTCCTCGCCCTTGCGCACAGCGAGACCAACATCAACAGACTCTGATTCAGGCTCACCAATGAGGATCTTGTTGGAATCAGAGCGGGGGACAAACCGTACGAAGCCTTGAGTTTGTCAGCGACGGCGTTCTAGTGTTAACATCCATTCGTGCGAGATGAACAACTTACGGGTGAAGGGCGTTTGTGTTTGTGAAGCCATGGTGTATGTGTTGTCTGGTGCGTTCCTTAAAGTCAGGTGTGCATGTGGTATCGTAAGATTCGAAGCTCAAGTCAGACTTGGAGTGGCAGTTCGGATGATATTCACCAGCAGGAGGGTAGAAGTAAGGGCCGTTCCCGCATCGTGAAATCCGACTGGAGAAAGCCCGCTATCCCTGCTGGGGTTCTCCCCCGCACAATTGCCGATGGTTGGGGGTGGTCGGCTCGGAGGTCCGGGAAGTTCGAGAGTTCGCTCCCAGATCTTGACGCCGCGTCGTGCTAATCGTAAGTCCATCCACCGTGATTGGTCAATGGCCGGCTGACACATTGACGCCTGCGGAAAAGCCGGGCAACTCAAAGGCGCAGCTGGGGGAATTGTGGGGGAGTTGCGAGGATGAGGGATGATGGCGATGTGGGATGGAGGGGCCGAGAAATGAGGGGTCGCTGTCGGCGGCACATGCGCCGACCATCGCCGACGTCGTGGCTTTGTGGATTCGCCGGTACTTGATGACGGTTTGTTTAGAAATGGTCTGATCAGAGTGGACGTCTTGTGACAAGAGCTATCCGTTGTCGGTCTCGGAGCTATTATTACTTGCTTTCCCTGTCACGCAGTCGCGTGTAAGCAGTCCAGCTTTGACAACACATACATCCAGAGACTTTGCATGAGGGACACCGACCAGAGAAGCTTTCAAGCTGCCAGAAGACTCACAGCCATTGCTGCAACGATTACACCGCGAGATTCACAGATACCATTCGTGGGAGAACACCAGCAGAACATGTCTGGAGCACAGAAACAGGCGCCTCATGGCGCCGAGTACCGTCAGCACCTTCCAGACATTAGCACTCCTCGCTTCACGACGATGCGCAACCAGGATGCTCACGAATATGCCAAGGTGTTCAAAGAGAGCGGCAACCCGCCGTGGCTACATGCCCTGTATCTTCATTGGCGTAGCCTTTTCAAAGAGCCATACACCGGCATCACAACAGATGGTGAGATCTGCCGTGACACCCAAAACCACTAACTTTCCCGCCAAGAAACCATAATTGACCCGGATTTAGGCACGGTCAAACGGGACTTATTCAAAATCGCCGACGAGGGCGTGCCGATTCAGCAAATCGTCGATGCTACAAACGCGGTTCTGTCACAGCTAGATGACAAGCAAAAGACAACCCTCTCGTACCATGTCGATTCCCCGGAATGGCGATCATGGTCGAACCCCGAGTTTCTCCTCAGCGACAAGGGTTTACGGCTGGATGAGTTAAATCCGCAAATCCGCGACAGCATCCTGAAAGTCCTCGAGACGACGCTCTCCCCTGAGGGATACGCGAAGGCGCTCGGTGCCATGCGCGTAAACGGCTTTTTGGGCGAATTGGTACAGACACCCACCATTTGCAACGAATTCTCTTACAACTTTGTCCTCTTCGGACTACCCTCGGCGACGAGGCCATGGGGCTTCTCATTTTACGGTCACCATCTGTGCCTGAACATTTTCCTGTATCAGGGTCAGATCGTAGCATCGCCGTGGTTCACTGGGGCAGAGCCGAACTTGATTGATGATGGCCCATACAAGGGCACTCGTATCCTTGAGACCGAAGAGCGGCTAGGCTTGCAGCTTATGCAGTCGCTCCCAGCAAACTTGCAGCAAAAGGCACAGACCTACAAACTCCTCAAAGACCCCGCAATGCCGAAAGGACGGTGGAATCACGACGACCAGCGACATCTCTGCGGCGCCTACCGAGATAACCGAATTGTGCCATATGAGGGCATTTTGGTGTCGGACATGACAGCCGAGCAGCAGCAGCTGGTTCTTGGTATCCTCGAGCAATATCTCATCTATCTTCCTCAGAAGTCCAGGGAGATCCGGGTCAACCATATCAAGTCTTTCTTCAAGGAGACGTACTTTAGTTGGATTGGCGGCTTCGGTGACCAAGATCCCTTTTACTACCGCATCCAGAGCCCGGTTATCCTCGTGGAGTTTGATCACCACTCAGGAGTCTTCTTGACAAACAAGGAGCCCGCAAAGTTCCATATTCACACTCTTCTGAGGACGCCCAACGCTGGCGACTACGGTATGGCCCTTCGACCACTGATTCCGGGTATTGAGCAAGATTTCGTGTGGGAAGGTTAGGTATACCGCGGTCTCTAGGAATCGGGTAGAGGCCACCAAGTCGAGTGTATGTACTTTTAATGAGAAGTATCGGCTAGAGCGCACTCCATTTGCCCCATAGTCTGCCATCTCTGTTTCCCTTAGCTTCAAAACCCAACCTCTCTGGCGTTCCAACGTCAATCCCGAACCTCTCATCCACAACTGGAGCATCCAACAAGCTATCAATGCTGCGAGAATCTGCCTCGGTCGCACTGCGACTCCACCACCCCAAGGCGAATGTGTATCCCTGAAATATTCGGTCGAGTTGCTGCTTATTCATCCATTCAGCGTCTTCGGGAATGTGATTCGCACATAATTCACTCCCTGCGAATAAGGCCATGCTGCTTGCTATTGAATGAGGGCTTCGAGGAAGAGTGCCTTTGAGATCGACCATGATGTAGGCCGTCAGTCCAAGGATCATCATGGCACCAAGCAAGATCTGAAGAATGAGTTTCGGCGTATAGTTCATTATCAGGCGAGATTCTTCTCGTGAGATCGTACCGTTTACACTTTGTTTTTCGTTTTGCTCCTTCGTCTGAGTTGAAGCGACGATAGGCGTTCGAAAGATGCTCGAATCCATTACCTGCACCATGAACTTGGTGTAGAGGCCGTTTACGACATCGATCAGTTGATCAGGATTCTTGGTCAAATCGTCCCTGCTGACCCCCGTGGTTCCAGAAAGTATGTATCTGAAAAATGGATCGGCCGGGTCATCTGAGATCGAGTTCGTAACATTTTTATCGAAGTGAGGTTGAATACGATAGGGGAAAAGATCTAGCTCGGAATCATCGCGGGTGAGGTTCTTTGCAGTTGACTCATTAGGAGTCGGTGAGGATGTGAGGCTACTTCTTTGAAAGATGATTTCGCCTTTTGGCCCGATGAGGGACGTGAATTTCATCCCAACCCGAACCTGCTGAACAACCTGCGAACATACGAAAGGGCGTTCTGCGAAGAATATCCCGATGGATGGGCAGCCCATCGGATTATATGGACGTGCCGAGTCTGGATTCGTTTTGCAGGGGGAGCATTGTTTACTAACAAGAACTCCAATATCGAGATCGAAGAATAAGCCCACCAGCCCGTCTGTTTTATCTCCTGTGGCCTTGAATGACACATTCCTGACTTGACTGTCATCTCCTACCCGACAGGTCTCCGGAAGTAAGTCAATAGCGGTTATCGTTGTCGACACTGCGCCTCCTGTGGTGGATACTCCCCTATCTCTAACTGTAGCTGGGTGACAGAAGAGTCTTGGTCGCAGTGAAGGCACCTCGATACTGAAGTTGAACTTCTGATTCGAGCCACCTAATTTCAAAATATGGTACTCATCATCGGGTGAGCCTACGGAGTCGAACGATGGAAACACTAGATCATTCCATGTCGCTGAGTCCGGGCTTTCTGTCTTGTTCAGCCGCACATCATTCAGAAGCGTCGCTGCACCGCCATCGTTGACTGCACTATCACTCCAATCCAGGTTCCAAGTATTTTTGAGCTGAGTATTGAAGTTGATATTCGTGGTGAACAGCTTTTCAGCCCACAAATTGGAGACGACAATCGATAGAACGCTGCCTAACAACGCCGCGAGGATGGAAGAGGATAGCCCAATATGACCTCGTCTGAGAGCCTTGCATAGTGCAACAGGGGTTACTTCCCCCATCGGATTGTTCGTAATTCCTTGGTATGATGGTATAGCCCGAGCCCTCATGACACTGAGGATTGAAAATGTGGTGATAGTGAAGTCAAGGCTGTTGAAAATACTGGCGATGGCCAACACGATGAGGGCTGAGCTATATTGTGTTCCGTAAAGCGCCCAGAACATGTCCTGAACTGTAAACCCATTGCTCTTGATGGATTGACGATACGCGACTTCGAGCGCGATGATAGTGACAAGTGGCAGCGTGAAGGTAGCTATCACAAAATACAACCGCGCTGTCATGGGAATCCAGCTGCGCTGTTTCTGTTTCGGCTTTCGTATGAAACTCCCATCAGCTAGAAGTATCTCGCGGGCTTGTATTCGGAATTTCGAGCCATCAAAGTCTGTAGAGAATCTGTGTCCGGATAGCTCGTATGATACCTGGCTAGTTCTACATGCTCCAAGAGGGGCCAAGATGGTATCGATAGACGGACTTCGAGCGAGAATTGCAGCATTCGAAGCAAGCAAACTAGGATCCTGAGAGACGGAAGGGGTAAATTGAAAGATGATACTCAGTGCGAGTAGGCCTAGCATCATCAGGCTGACCACCATGATCCACAGAGAGAGCGGTCGGAATCGAAGTCTCTCTTGGGTGTATGTCCCTTCAGCAGAAGCTGTCCCATGGGATTCGGTCATGAAGGATTCTTTGAGAAAGTTTACAGCAAGCTGAGTGATGACAGAGGTTGCGGATGCAATCATGGTGTCGATTTCGAAGAACTTGTAATATCCAGCTGGAAGGTCTTGTGATGTATGGCTCATAAGTTCAAACATGGCGGCAGAACCTCCTGTATCATTACCCGAAGTGTACTTTCGAGCGGAGTTGCCAATGTCTCTGCGTGGTCCATCCATAGTTGAGTCGGCGGCGACGAGAACAGAGTACAGCAACTCAGACAGCTGTTGGTCGGTCAATTCGTCGAGTTGTTTATCGGCGTCGAGTGGCTCTTTAGGGTGAATCAGGGTCTCGTTCTTGTTGGTGCCCATAGTAAGAATGCTCTTTCCCATGGTATATGCGACTTTGCAGGATACTGCTGTGATATTGGCCATCGATGTTGTGTAGTCGAAACTGTAATATTCGGTTCCAGGCTTGGTCCTTTGTGTGATGTTACTCGCTATGAGGAGTAGGCGAAGATCGACTTGAGACCCATCGGATCTTCCCTTGTCGGAGCAGTACGCCCTATAAATATTGTACGTCGTTAAAGTCCCAAGGCAACTCTCGCTGCCATCGGCACAAGTGCTAAGAAGAATCCTTGTGTTTCCACAAGAAGGTATCTGTACTTCCAAAGCCCCACTGAATTCGGTTATGTTGCCATCTATCTTATCGAAAACGGTGATGTCCGGTTCTTCGCAGATCACGTGTGGAACGATAGAGTCAACGTTGGCGGAGACATGCTCGATATCGCTGATTCCTGGTGTTTCAGTAACGGACGCGTCTTGAAAGACAATTCCCTCTTGCGTTCCAACAGGTTCTGATATTTGCCCTTGGAGCACCTGCAAATACTTTACTGCAGAGACTGCAGAAATGTTACTAAACGAATAGCTCGAGTATGTGACATTTCCAGAGAGAATGGTTCTGTCTGTTCTATTATTCAAAGACCAATTTGTGGTTTGCCAGAAAGCCGACCCGTCAAAAGCTGAGTTCACTTGTATCGGAAGCGGCCCCGACATCTTGATGGCTACGGGTACCATTAGCGTCGTGGATAACAGAGTAGCTAATTTGAGGACAGCGGAACCTGTCATCGTGGCTGCTGCTATCCAGTGTCCGTTTCGGAATGACCTGACCAGCCCCGTCGATAGGATCGGAGAGACGTAATCTAGCAGGAGACTCTTGGGTCCCGGGCTTGGGCCTCTGGCCATTTGCTGCCATGGCTGATGCATCTTGCTATGGTAGTCGACTTGCCTCCAGAGGCCCGTGATGGCCACGAAAATAGCGGTAGGGCCGTAGGTCCAGGAAAACCTGCTTGATGTTGCCGTGATCATGAAACCCGAGTTTGCGATGTCGTATCGGACTAGAACCACTAGTGCAATCCAGAGGGCAGTGAACAGAAAGGCAAATCCGAGTAAAGAGGTCGTCCGAAGCCAAGGAGGCGTCCATAGCGCTCTACGTATTGAAGGCTCTGGTACGCCTCCTTTCAACGCCTCTACGCTGTCCGACCATCTATCGAAGGTTGTAGAAGTCGGCTTTATGTCGGCATGGGCCTTATGGTCTCGCAGAATATCGATGAGCGGATAGGCAACATCTGATCCATCATTGTCTGAGCCCCAGACTTCGTTACGTTGGTGTTTTGAATAAGTTGCCGGAGTTGATGTCGAACGATCGTGGAGTTGAGATCGCGGATTCTCTCGATTGCCGAACCCTGGGTCGTAACTGGTTTCGCTAGAGAGACCATAGGCGGAAGCGATAGACCACACGTCGACGGTGCTTGGAGACGAACCCTGAGCTGAAATAGTCTCAGGATGATTCCTGTCGTTTGGAGCGACAGATCGTCGTGTTATGTCCATCGTCGAAGTAACAGGTGGGCATGAGGCGGCTGCCTTGATCGCTTGTTGGTAGGAGGCTGTCGAAAGGTATGTGGTGCCTCTATGACGGTAAGGGATAGAAAAGGAATGAAAGAGCAACTAGATGTTGCAGGACCCGTGATATTTATCGCACAGAACCTGCGATCTTTTCTCTAGACATGCTCATGCTGTGTGCAAGAGGCTGTAGCTCAAACAGCCGATGATGAAGTGCTCGTTAGGCAGTGATTATCGCAGGCCGGAGAACAGCGTCTTCGATGGATGCAAGGTGGATGTGGTTACCTTGGTATGAATAGTCTCTATATTTATCAGTCAGTTCAATACTGCATATCGGGTGCTAAAATCTCACGTCAGCACAAGGATGCAATGCAAGATAACTATGTATCGCTCCTCAGCCTGATTTTGATATCTGAACAAGCCGGAATCCCAGCTTAATGCGGAGGGAATGTCAACCGATCGGGGGAGGATCTTCCCGCTCCTTCAGGGGGCTCCACTGTGTAATCCTGAGGACCAACAGGGTTTCTCGTCCTCGAATGCACCTGAACCTCAAATGGAGGACGACGGAGAGCCTGCTGCATCCCGCCACACGATATGCAGTTCTTCGGACCGACGAAGAGAAGAACATAACGTAAAGTGACTACAAAACACTCGAGGAAATGTTCGTGGTTGCGTTATCGCGGCCATCACAAGATAATCTTCGGCACCTTCAATCTTGGCTAAGAAAATGCAGCTAAGCCACAGCAGGGGCCAAGAGACATTTTGGGGTATCAGACCTTACTACGTATTGTTGAAGGGACGAGCGAGCAAATATACGATCCTCAACGCGGGTCTCAAGCTGGCTAAGATCTGTCAGAGCCGGCATGATTAAACTCCAAGGTAATCCTCTCATTGCGGTGGAGATGTGTGCTAGACTGAACCTCGGGCCTAGCGCCGTGGTGCATTAGGTATTTGCGGACTGGGATATGCCCTGAACCAAGACGCCCATCGAAATTGCCAGCCATGTGCGCTGCCCTGACACTTGAGTTGGAATTGGCAGGCTGCCGAAACCCATTAACTGACTTGGGCTCTGGAGAGCTTTCTCAAGGTTGGACGCCCCAGCATGAGACGCGACTGCAGACTAAGATCAGCTTTCCCAGTTGAGTCTCATGCATAGATTTCAGACTGACTGCTTCCCGGGCTCATTCACTCATCCACCTCTCAGCGAGTTCTGATGGGTGAGTTGGTGTGATGGAAGAGGATCAATTTGGGCAAAGGTGAGTTCTTCAGCGAAACCGAAGCCTACGCGTATTCCGCGCGCCTCCTTCTGCCGTTTTCCCGTAGCCCCCGCAGGCTAACACCTCACCTTCTTATTTGAGTTGCGCCGCGTCAACGTCAACGTTCAAGAGCGAACTCAATTACGAGGAAACACGCAACCGTTGACTCTTCGGTCAAAAGGCTTGGCGCATATAACGCTGTCACAAGCTCCAAAGCTTACATCAACGTCAAAATCCAGTTCATTGATCCATTCACTCACTTACCAGAGCCGTGATGCAACTCCCGCCGCACCACCTGTACTCCCTAGAGCTCACGCCGCGCTTCGATGCCGACGGCGCGAGCAGCTTATCGGTGCTGCTCCGGCTGCAATTGCCGGTCACGAAGGCCCACGAGCCTGTGTTTGTGTTCAACACCTTCTACGGCAACATTCCCGGGCATCCGTATCAAGAAAAAGACATCAACGCGACAGACGATGCCGGCCCCCTAGAGCTCCAATTCCACGACCTCCCTTCAGAGGGCCGGGACAAGAAACAGCACTGGTCCTTCACCAGAGAACCCCGGGGCGACATCCTTCTCCGCTTCGATGTCTTCCCCCGGAAAGTAGACATCAAGACCCCGCTCGGCGCCCGCATCGACCTCCGCCGCGACCAGGGCGGCCTGCACGGCGCCGGCATGTGGTTTCTGCCGCAGCTCATCAATGATCAGCTCTTCACCGTCCTAGTCAAGTGGAATATCCCGGCCGACGCGCCGGCCTCTACGCGATGCGTGTGGAGCTACGGGGAGGGAACCAAGCCCATGGTCCGCGTCGATCGCTCCGAAGTCGTTCGGAACACCATTTTCATGGTCGGGCCCGTTCAGAGCTCTTCCGGAGCGTCGTCGTCTGCATGTTACTGGTTCGGTGACCTTCCGTCAAACCTCGACCGAGTGAAGGGATACAACACCGCCCTGTTCCCGAAGATGGCGGAGTTCTTTGGGTCGTCTGGTGGAACGTATCGCATGTTTATGCGGAAATCCATCGTCGGCTTTGGTGGTACCGGCTTCGATGCAAGTTACATGCTGGAATACGATGACAGGAGTAGCGACGTCGAAGATGACCGCCTCATCCAATTGTTTACGCATGAAATGGTGCACAGCTTTGCCACGATTGATTCTGGCGAGGCAAATGAGAATGACTGGTTTGAAGAAGGTACTGATCTCTGATATGAAGCCCATCGTCTGGCATTTAGAAACTGACACTACGCAGGACTTGCAGAGTTGTATTCGTCATATCTGCCCTATCGCCTCGGCTTCCGTGGGAAAGACTTCTTGATCAGCACCATCAATGATCATCTCCAAGGCTACTTCACCAGCCCTCGCATTAACATGGACATACGCGATGCGACCGCGGCCATGTTCAACGATTGGTACGCAGAGTGGATTTCCTACAAGCGCGGTTTCGCGTACCTCCTTTTCATGGATCTCTATCTGCGCCGACACACCCGCTCGTACGACTTTACCACGGCAGGGCCCCTCGACTCCATCATTCTCGACTTGACAACAAGGCACAAGCAAGGAGAGGCTGTGGGCGCCCGTGACTGGCTTGCCGCCCTAAAGACGTCTCTTGTGGGCGACGAGTTCCCAATCGAGGAGCATTACCAAGACATGCTCCGGGGAAGGGCGGTCATGAACTTTGATGGCCTTTTCTTGGGCGAGCCATCCAAGACACTGACGGCAGCTCAGCTTCCTATCATGGAATTCGGGTTTGATAAACGAAGCACGAACTCTCGCGTTGTCACGGGGCTTATTCCGGGCTCAACTGCGGATAAGGCAGGCTTGTGGGAAGGAGCTCAGATTGTGAGCGTGTCTCGAGCCAGTGATTGCATTGATGATATCCAGAAGACCTACAAAGTGGTTGTTCAAGACGGTCGGGGCACTCGTTTGATAGAGTATGTGCCCCGGGCGAAGAAGACTGCCCTCGCCTGGCAATTGGAGGAAAGCGGTTGAAAGGTTTGGAGGAACTGGGTTGCTTCTGCTATCTAATTGTACCTTAGACTACATGTAATGAGAACGAAATGAAACAGGAAGAAAAGTAGGGTATGCCGTTCTGGTGTTACATGTACTGGTGCTGTGAGTCGAAAGGAGAGAAAGGAGAATAAGAAAATGGGTAGAGGGGGGAGGCGGGGATGTGCTGTGTCCTTGATGGTAAACTCTGCGATGTACAAACAACCTTCAGTTGAGGGACCCCTCCCCAGCTTTGACTGCAATGACAATCAAGCCTCCAATCACCGAAGCCAGCCCTCCAATGACTTTCTTGGCTTTGAGGGACATCCTGTATTCAATGAGCAGCGCGTGGCGGGGTAGAACGATGCGATCCTCGCGCTGGTCGATGTCCACAAAGACATCATCATAGAGATCAAATAGGTGTGTGTAAAACCCCTGATCCATCGACTGGGGCTTGTTCACCGCCTCAGTAAAGGCTTCGTCGAGAGCCGAGTGTCGGATCAAGGCCTTGTAGGGGGGAAGTGCCGTGAGGTCGGGAACTTCGATCTGCTGGTTATTAGTATTTGTGAAGGTAATAAACTCTGATGGGGACAAGCAAAAGCTTACCGAGCGAAGTGTGGCGATCGATACAGTCGGCTTGAGACACAATACGTTGGTCTTGAGGAAATGTTTGGCTTTGCTGGTGTTCGCCTCAAGTGTGCCTTCGATAGCTTCCACGAGCCCTTGCGGATCTTCGTAGCTGGCCGCTGCCAAGATGGTGCCACCAGGGCGTGTAGAAACGGAGGATTTGGTGAGGAGGAGGCAGGATTTTGTTGCCATGATTTGAGATATTTGGTGGTTCTTGACGAGCAAAGTAGGCTGTATTTATGGTGTGGTCTGGTGTGTAGATAGTCTGTTTGTTCCATTCAAGCCCTCCAGGAGTGGCATCAGAGACTTTATAATAATGCGTCAACCGGCAGTTGGAGCAGACTTACCGAGGATATAATTACGACATCTACGTAGATGTGTGGAAAAGTCCACAGTAGCGGGTTCGTGAGCGTATCTACAGAATCGAGGACAACGAGTCTTGACAACACGAATAAGTCCGTGATTCTGGGCAGGAAACCACCACATGACACCGATACCGAGGATGACATGATTTGTAACTGTGTGATACGTCACGATGGGATCAAATTGTGTAGAAAAATTGCGAGAGCGCGAAGGCGCGCATCAAGTCCAGCACATGTTGTGTCTCGAGCTACGCCAACAAGTGTTCCTAGGACCGTATGTCCACCGCGAGCGCCAACAACTTACGCTAGAGGACCAAAGGCGGTGTTGCACGTGAGCAAGAGCCATCACACTAATGGACGTTGCTGAAGATGGTGTTGCGAAACCGGGAAATACGGTACCGAGCCTCTTGTTACTATTGAATGACAAACAACAGCCAAGATCCGGAATCGGTGAGTCCACGGTGTGCTGGTGACAATTCTTGCGCCGCCGCGCGTTGTTGAATTCGCGACTCTCTAGTCGGCTTTGTAACGGCTTGCATCGGAGTAGTGTACGCTAGAGAGCCGGACACCGCCGGGATTGTGGTGCTGTACCGTACCCTATGTCGGAGCCCCTGAACACGATCAAGCTATACGTACGTACGTACTCGTTTTCCTCGTGCCCGAAGCTTGATCAGAGTAGAGAGTAAATCCGAAGTCGAGGTGTTTTGCAAAGGCTTCGAGTTGTTGTGGTTGTAAAGAGGCGGTGCGAAAACCGCATCATGGAGCTTTGCCAATGACGTCGGGCAACATCCTCTGCTCACTAATTGGCCCCCAACTTGGATTTCTCCACGAAGGATGGGATAAGGTCGCCTTAACTAGCCCCAACCAACAATTTGTCCACGACCAATGGTGACAGCGGCTCAAGGGTGCCATACCTACCTTATGCAAGGTACAGAACACCCTCCGGTACAGGCGCTGCTCCGGTACGGGGCAGCTAGCTCTGGAGTAGAGCAGCTTGCGCAGGGGAAATCTCGTGGAGATATCCGTGCCTTGACTGGATTCTTACCGATGAAATGTTCGTGGAGAAAAAAGTACTGCCAAGGAACGTCAAGCCACCACCCAACGGGCTGATAACGTCCCCCGCACCACCTCCAAAGCACCGTTGTGCTGGAGGGACGCTGGCAACTCAGCCTAAGATCTTTCTCTTCCCGCGCCGCCATCCAAAGTCGAAACCGAATTCATCCTTTCATTATATACCCAAAGATCGAAACCTCCTGGCGAACCACATCACGAACCTCGCAAAGTTGACTCTGAGCTGCCAACATGTCTGCCGAAGACAATGGGCAAGGCAGCAGAGACCCGGTAAGTTGTCGGATGCCTTTCAGATGCCTTCCTACATGCATCCGAGCCGCTCGCAACACAAGCTTTCCCTGCCCATCATCCCATGTTTCTCCACACCGTCGCTGAAGTTTGCGGCACTCCCGCTCATCTCATCTCGGCCCCATCCCATGGGATCGGATGCTCTCAATGCAAGCTTGCTCCATCCTTTCAGGGAAGAGCATGCGAAGCATGTCCGCCACTCCATGAAGCACCGATGCTAATGCTACTGTTCGCAGTTAATCCCCCGCGGAGACAACTTCATCCCTTTCGAAAGATCAGACGTTCGACGATCCCGAGTTCAGGAGGCGCTGAATCAGACGAATGTCCTCGCCCCGAGCCAGTCTTCGACTCAAACCCCGCCTTCCGGACGCAGGGGAATCGAGGAGTCTCCCACCACCGGCGGTATCGCCGGTCATGTCGTCGGCCCCAGCACGTCCACAGCGCCGTCCACGGCGCAATCGCAGAGGGATTCGGTTAGCGCCGGCCAACAGACTCTCACAACTCTCACAACTGCCACCACTTCTGTCTCTAATACTAATGCAACAACTCAAGACAACGAGCAGGCGGACTTCTTGATCTGCGTGGTGGTTTTGATGTACGGTACCACGGCCCCCAAGAATTGTCGACGTATATTCACGCGCGCTTGCGATCTAAAGTATGGGATTGTTCTACTTTGCCTCAAGTTATTGAAATAGGTAGCTACTTATGTACGAGTAGCTGACAGTGGTTAACAGACAGCACAACTGGCAATGTCACGTCCACATCAACGATCAACACCTTATTGCCCGCGAGGAGGCCGCTGAACAACGCCGCACAGGAGCCATCGGCAGCCGACATAATGCCAGGTCCAGAGGATTAAAACCTTACCAGTCCAAAGCGACAACCCCACTTTTGGAAGAGCATCCAACCTATCGACTTACTATTGAGGGCTGGGATCATTTTGTCTCCATCATCAGCATGCTCGATCAAAGTCGACCTCGACCAGAGGATCAGCACAGGAATCACCGCATCACATGCATTTCCAGCCTATGGCGTTCGCAGTTTGGAAACGATCGTCCCGGTTTCGGGATGCAGAGTAAGTTTGCAATTCCTCGCTCAATCCTGTGGTCTTCCATCCGAGCAGGTGACTACGTAAATCTTCGTGACTGACGAACATCATTTGAATTACCTAGCGGACATTAGTGACGCAAACAAGGCTATTCTCAACAGGAGCATACGAAACGCCATGACATTCTTACTGGATTCCGAAGGAGAAAACTCCTCGACGTCATTCATCGACGACGAAATCTACTTGGCAGATCAGAGGAACAATCCAGCTTCGCAAACTCAACAAGTCGAACACTCTGAAGGTGCAGGGGCGATCGACGTGCATCCGACGGTTATGGAGTTCATTCACGGATTGTCGGCGGAGGAATGTGATTACTACATTGCTGTATTAAAATTGCCCAACATCCAAGGCACTGGGTAGGCAGGCCCAGCAAGTTGATGAATTCGCGCTGCATGGTGAACAGGAAGACTTTATGTAGCTTGGAAAGATTACGAAGGTGAACGATTGTGAGTTCATTTGTTTGCTGAGTTTGGAAAGCACTGGCAGAAGCATACATTTACTTGCGAGCGGGAAATCATCTTTAAACAGAATGAGGTCATACCGGAGACGGGAACCTGGGATGGCGTTTGGACGGGAGCGACCTGATTGCATGTAGCCAGTCTTATAGGCAGCGTTGATAAACTTATATTCAGTGATCGAATCGCATCATTTGGACTACGTTTATGCTGTTGCGTTAGGTTGGGAGAACAACAGGGCCCAGCCAGTTGAGATGTCGAACGCAAACAACAACAGTAGTAAAGGGTGTATTTTCACAGCGCATGAATGAGTAGAGGGATGCTGCAGTTGAGCCTATATAACTTGATCCTCCAGCCTAATTGAGCCGACTCTCCCCTTTGGTGATTAGCATTTGGTCAGTGACCTCTTCGGTTCCCTCTAGAGTCGCTCTCGACATTCTAGTGCTCAACTCCTCAACTTTACAAGACACGACTTCGGCTTGGTGAATATTCCTTCAAGGAGTGCATCATCCTCCAACTCAGCAGGCAACCCCATAAACTCCAGGTTCCAAATCAACAGCGTAATGATCAGTTTCAATTCCATGTACGCCAGTCTTTTACCCCAGCATCCCCGAGGGCCGTAACTAAAACTCATAAACGGGCCAGCTTTGTTATTGAACACTATTTCGCCCTTCTCGTCGGGCTGCAACCAGCGTTCTGGGTGAAGTTCTTCGGGAGGATATTCGGTCAGCGCCCAATCTCCGACGCCCTCGTTGGCGACCTTTTGTGATGTTTCACTCCGCTTCGCCTCGTCGATTTTGGCACCTGCTTCTGAGACCGTTGGCCCCGCCAAGAGAAGGACTAGAGGCGTTCCCTTGGGTATGCGGTACCCAAATATGTCCATGTCTACGAGCGTCTCCTTCATGATGGCTCCAGCGGGACTGCTCAGACGCAGAGTCTCTTCGATGAATGCGTCGAGGTAGTGTACGTGAGTCTTGGTGATCTCGTCAATTGTAGGCTCTCGCTTTTCTGAAACTGCATCTGGGTATGCCAGCCGCAGCGCTTCTCGCAACTTGGACTGAATGTCCTGATGGATACCCAGGTATTTGATCGTGAAGCAGAGCGTGCTGTGTGTAGAATCCTGGCCGCCAACGAGGTAGCCCCAAATCATGTCGTGTATCCTTGCCGAGTCAAAGACTGGCTCTCGGTCTGCGGCTTTGGCTGCTGAAATTTCACGCGAGACGATGTAGTCCACTGCCGAGGCGAACTCCTCCTTTGAGCTATCACTGCAGGACAATTTCTCGACGGCGCGGTCAATATGAGACTGGAGAATGCTTTTCTTCAAGCCAAATGCCCGGCGGATAGTCGGTCGATTGTTGTCGTAGAGAAAGAAGAGCTTGGGGATGAGTGCGCGGAAGGCACCGTTGATTCTTTCGTTCAGAGTATTTAGGGCGAATAGAAGCGGTGGTGGAGAGGGTTTCGGGAACTCTGCAAGTTGTGAGACGTCAGACTTGGGCGATTCGGATCCATTTGGTGAGGGAAGCAGCAAGAGTCTCTCATGTGTGTAGCTATCTTCCACAGAGGTGCCAAAAGCAGCAGCGTTCATGATGTCGTAGGTAAAAGCCTCGAGATCGCCGTCGGCTTCAAAAGGCCGTCCATGAGCGATGGCGGCTTTGGCTTTCCAGAGCTCTATGAATTTGTGAACCATTTTATGTGACGCTGGTGCCGATACCTGCATTCTGTCAGCACTACACACCACAAATTCAAGGTTCTTAGTTACGAGCGCTATCGTACCCCATGTAAGAAGCTTGGTGTCATGAGATCTTTAGTCAGGAACTTGGTGTCCTTGAAAGAAGGATGCGAATCTTCCATGGCGATGAAGTGCCCAGGAATCACACTATTCCAGGTGATGTCGTTGCTAACTCCACGGCCGAGATCTTTGCCCCGCTTCGACATCAAGTCGCGGGCCTCACGGTAATCTGCAATGACGATGTGCGTCCTATCGAGAGGTCCAGGGAAGAATTGAGCAACGGGGGTGTTGTGCTTAGAGAGCAGCTGCGTGAAGAACTTGAGCCAGTATTCCCCCGCATTGTCGAGTTCGATGAAGTACGGTGCATCTCCCAGGATTCGCTTAGCAGAATCGAGGTTGAACGGCGGTCCACCAGCGATCGGCCTAGGTAAGAGTCGAAGATAGAAGAGACGAATGGAGATGGCGATAGTAGCGACAATGGCCGCATATACGGCGAAACCCGCCATAGCCTTGATTATCAAGATGCTTTTGGGATAGGCAGTCTGGTCTAAGTTGTGCGGATGAGCTTCTCAGAATGAGATAACGACTCAGCGGCACAACGGACTGCTTCAACAACGTCGAATCGCGACAGTTTTGTATCTCCAAAGTTGACGTGCATGAGGGCCGCGTGGAGTCTGCCATCCATTGGAGGTAAGCTTCGGATGAAAGTTGATGCTCTTGGCGCCGCCTTCCCTGCTGAAGAACAGGGACGGGAGTGAGCACTAGCACTGTAGAACAGCGGCACAGCGGTCGCCGCGGCACCCGATTCGGTCTCGGCGCTGGCAGGGTATCCACTCGTGGCCTCACCGGCCTCCGGTGCTGGCGACGACGGCCGGGAGGGGCACGAGGGGGACGTTTCGAGTGTCATGCGAGATTCTTGTTTGGGCGTTTTCTCCTTGTCATAGTATTTCTCTTTGTGGCGATTGGACTATCTGTACGGGGTACGAAGATCCTGGATCGTCGCGTGCGTCTCTGATGTTGTGATGCGCTGAGGATGTGTACTGAAAACCGATCCAATCACCGTAGACTGGAACTCCGAGTTAGTAGCAAACGACTGAATTCCATCTAGGGTATTCAAAGACTCATAAACTGCATTTCTAAGAGTCAACATGGATTGATCATGGTTGATCAGTACAATTACGGTCAGCTTGCGCAGCCGTTTCCACCCACAGGTCTATCAATTCGTCGCCGAAAGAAAGGATACCTATTTTACATTGAACAAGCTCGACTCGTTTCTACCATCGCCTCAAACCATGTTCATCCACAGACTTACAACCATTCTCTTAGACAACCTTGAAACTTAAACATGACGCATAAGCTGGTGGGATATGTAATCATCCCGAGCGGTCATGGTGCAGATTGAGCACACTCTCGGCCGGTACGGGACTGTGGACGACAGCCGCCCGGCGGGCCGTCGGTAATATGCATCCACCCGATGTTCACCATCACTTGGGAAGCCCAACCCTGAAGACTCCCCATGTCCTCCAATCTGCGAACGCTACCAGAAGTTTGGACAAAAAATCCTTGGATTTCATGAATCATGGTTACAGTTACACACGGTTAGACCGAGACTTTTTGAGTTGGTGTTACAGTCTCACAGACTCCGAACATCCGGAAGCGGAATCGCAAGTATGACGATACGCACGCAAAGATAAGCCTTCAATTGCAGAGGTACCCCTCTAGATATTGCTATAGAAGAAAAGCCATAGCTCAAGAAGCATCGAAGGAAAAGTCCGCGCCTTTGGCATTTGGGGTGAGACATGGGCGACGATGCAAACCTTGATCTGAGTCTAAAGTCAAGTCTGAAGCCAGTCAGCTTAGCGAAGATACACGCGGGAAAGGCGACACCGATAGACACCAATACGTAAACGTCTTCCGCGATCCATTAACCTTGGCGCCTCCGATCTTGAGAGCTTAAAGCGTGCTACCATGATTCTTCCTTCGCCATCCACAGCGGCATCTCCCGCAGCGACAAGATCATTATTGATCCTGTCCTCGTGTCCACGACATGCCGAAGTCGACTGCCTCCAACGCCCGCTCCGCCTTTGTTTGTGCCCCGGCCCGTGGCGTGGCGATCCCGGATCTAAACGTTCGCCACATGGCTGTGCACGAGTAGGCCACCGCAAAGGAGAGGACAGAGGCGCTGGAGGTGTGGTTCCACGGAGTTTGGCTTAATAATTGGAACTCCAAAGCTGTAAGGTTACGGAGATAGAGAGCACACGTGGATGGATGTCGATTGTGTCTCAGATTCTACAACACGCTGCATGCATCTTGCGATGGGAGAATGAGGTGCATAGCAGTGACTTTGGCATTGATGTTGGCTTTTATGGTAATAGTAAATTACAAATTGGTATGGGAAACTCATGCAGACTGGGGATATCATCGCAGGAAAAAGGAAAGTGAAAACAACCAATGCCGTGTCCTGCTTCGTGTCTTCCAAAATCATACCACAACCTTCATGGTGCGGAAATACTTCTTAACCCGTGACGACAGCGTTGACGATGATTGAAATGTCTCAACCGTCTCCCCAGAGTCCTCAGAGTCTAGTGAGTACCTCCTCTCCTTGACGAACTTGGGCCACGTGTTGGTGAGGACGAGGTACTTGATGCTCGACTCCGCGTCGTCGAAGACAGCAGCGTTGAAAGCCTCGGGAATCTCGCCCCAGTACTGCACCCGGTCCGCAATGGGGTCTCCGCTGCCATCTCGTGATACGCAGCTCATCTCAGAGCCACCCGCTGTTGACTCAGGTCCACCCCAGCTGTTATCCTCAAATGGTACCACAGGATCGCTGAAGCGCTCCGTTCGGTCGCCGTATAATATTCTAGCTGCGCCTTCGAAGACGCCTTCTAACCGCTTCAAGTCCTGTGATGCGATGTTGATCTGGAACTCGGCGTGGTAAGGGCTGATGAACTCGGTGTAGATGCGCAGGGCCCGGTTGAAACGTTCCCGTGAGATCTCGGCCGATCGATGTGATGATCCGGGGCTCTGAGGGATTGATGACTTCCATTCGGCAACGGCTGACAGGAATGCAATGTTCTCGCCGGAGAAGTCTCTGAGGGCAGAGAACTTGCGGAGGGGCTCAGGGTTCTTGTCCAAGACGTACTCGAGGGCGCCCATCGTGTAGACACTTTCTGCTTGGCTGGTGTCCTTTTCGAGCTGCGCAAGTGATTTCCAACTGACGGAAGCTTGGCTTCCGACTTTGGTCGATCCGGTGATGACAGAGTCTCTCCCGGCGCGTGACTTGTTCTTGGCTTCCCAAACAGCGATGGACTCGAGCGTTTCCTGTCTGAGAGTCTTATGCTTGACGACTTGCCAGCAGGGAATGAAGATTGCAAAGATTTCAATGAACGTGATGGAGAGGCAGATCCTAGGAGTAAGTCAACATCGAGCTCGGGAGGAAGAACGTGTCCATGCGTTGCTTCATATAACTTACCACTGCGGGGGGATGAAGTAGGCATTGACGGGCGCCATCGCTGGGACGTACAAGGCGACAAGCCACATAGGGGTAGCGTGAAGGCTGAACTCGTTAGTGTTGGCTCGGGGTGTTTGTCACGGAGAAGCGACAAAGCGCTAACCTGGATTTCAACTCACCTTGCGATAGAACATGCAATGGTCTGCAGGCGCCACCCTTGAGTGTCCTGGATTCCACGTGATTTCCAGAGAATCACAGGTGCGACCAGCCAAGCCCAGAGGAATTGCCAAAATACAGAAGGCCACCATTCCCAGCCCCTACCCATCTCGACTTTTTGCTGCGCTGGAGTTCCCGTCACTTCAGTGCCGGGGATACCAAACGACGGGTGATATTTGCGCGAGACCAGATACATGACCACTGTTAGGAGAAGCTGATGATGAAGCACGTCAGCCATCAAGTGTCAACTGTCAAACATGCCCCGCCATCTGACCCTGCATCAACTCACTTGCACAAGCATGCCCGTGCACACAACGGCTAGCATCTTGGTGGTGTAATCGAGCTTCCGGAACTTCCCCGTCAGGGTCTTGTCCGGCCCGTTGCCGGTGTCCAACTGTGAGTTGGACTGTGTGAGCGGCTTATCTGCATATTTCCGCTGCGCCTTGGCGATGTGGAGAAACCGGCTGTTGGAAGCGTGGAAAAGAGCAATGCCGAAGGGGAGGTAGAGGCCCATCACCCAAAACTCGGCGCCATCGGGGACGAACTGGCCGATGGCAAGCCCGATCTGCACCGAAAGCCAGTAGAGGTGGAGCATAGTGACAGCGCCAAACGACAAAGCCAGACCGCGGATCCTCAGAAAAGGCATTTTGCGGTTGACAAAGAGAAATGCCATACCACAGAGCAAAAGCACTGTCCAAAACCCACCCCAGGCAAGCCAGAAGACCGCAACTGGCGCAGTATTGAACGAAGGCGCCGCTGCTGCGGCAGTTGGTGTAGGCGTGGCCTCTGCGCTTGACTCCATAATGACTGATCTCTGTCTCGTTGACTCAAGATCTGATAGTGATGTGCGAAGCTGCCGTCTGGCGAGCAGAAAAGGAGCGTACGGAATAGAGCTATCTAGATATTCTCCATGTTTAAAATCCGAGGATGGTCTTGGTTATATGCTGGAATGCAGATGGGGCTGGAAAACAAGGTTCCTCGAGGAATGCGAAAGTGCTTTCCCAGTCACCCGTGATTCACCCGCCAGAAATCACTCTAGAAGACTTTGGGCGAACCCATCGTGCTTTTTCGAGGTAAGCCAAACGCGGTGGTGAGGCCGGCGCACCGTCGTGCAGATCCCTGTTTACGTCAACAATAGCGCTGGCCCTCGATGTCGATCACATCTCGAAAGTCTTTTCAACGCAGGGAGGATTTGAAGACGAGTTGAACGCCGAGTCCTGTCAGTTGCTGTTCTGAAAGGAAATGGCCAGCCTTCATGGCCCCGAGCTGGGGGCCGTTGAAGTGAAACTGCAACGCAAGGGAGCGCGGCTGCATCCCCTCACAGGCGCCGCCCTCAGTAGGAGTGGGAGGGTGCAAGCAATAGTCGCGGTTTTAGACGATGGCTTCCAGTGTGGATCGTCGGTTGCATATGCAAAAGCAGGTCGCTAGCGCTAGTGTCAAGGGACGTCTCTCTTCCGGACGCTAATCAGGAGCCGGACTCTCGTAGAGCTGAGCCATGATGGGTAACGTTCTGTTTGGCCGTCGTCGCGGTTTTTTCTTGGGGCCCATGTCGCCTAGCGATTCAGCCAGTAGACAGTCCGTTGACCAGCGTAAGATCCGCAAGACGAAGCGTCATCGCAGATCTCTAAGCGGATCATTAGAGCCTTGGATAGTGTGAGGATCCATGAGTCGCTGAATCGGACCTGTCAAGAGAAAAACATTGCTTTATCTGAGATAACGCCGGCGCACGGTTCTCTTGATCTCGAGTTTGTCACTGCTGGACGAGAATGAGACAGTGACTGCAGACACGAATTGGTGTGATGAGTGTTAGGGCCCTGGCCAGCTGCGTGAAGTCTGGCCCATGGTCCGAATCTCACGATGTGTGCTGACTCTGTCGAGGAACGAGCGCAGGGAGACTTCATGAGACTCACAGCCAACATAGAAGCTTCTGTTTCTGATTTCTGATACCGTGCAAGTGAGAGCCATCGGCCGACCAATCCAGAAAAAGGGAGGAAATCATCTATTCTGATACAGGTGGCTGCTCTGAATCCTATCCGCGAACCTCCACACGTGGCTCTGGATCACTCTCCCTTACAACAGCCAGCCCAAAGTTCCAACGTCATGTTGCTTTTTGGTTAGGCGTCACTATTCACTTGCTTGCAACGTTGGCGCCATGATAACCCAGTCGAGAGGAGGATCCTGCAAGTGAGCGATCGTGAGAGGGCGCGGCGTTGCGCCGTTTTCTGGCCCAGTTGGTTAAATTGCAACGGCATGCCTTCGGACCAACGTAAGCCTCATGCGTTCAAAGAAAGAACTGTGGTGCACGATAGACGCACGGAGAAAAATATCACGGATCTTGAATGCTTATCCGCGAAGAGGCGCACAAAAAGACAATGGATCTATCTGGAAAGCGAGATCACTCCTGTCGATCTGTGAGGAATCCAACGCATGGGTTGGAAAGTTTCATAGGACATCTCTCGATGCCTTGCTTTATTGGATCACGAAGGCCCCAAGCGCTGAAGGCTAAAGGAGCCGTGGCGTCCCCATCGCGCGCTAGCTAGCGCGGACATGAACATGCAGGTCCCCGGAGCGAAATGTTCGCCGGCTTTTGCCACCTCAACTTGAGAACTTTTCTGCAATTGTCGTGTTCAAGGATGCCAGTATGTGATCATGGCGGATAGTGTGAGTAACAGAAATGCCCAGGAGGAAGAAGTGAATCGCCGTCCGGGGTACCGAGTTTGACTCGTGGCAGACAAAGGCACGGTGGGGTGACTAGGCCTCTCCACGCCCGGCAAAGCTATTGAGATCATGTAATATTACGGGTATCATCTAGTGAGGGTTGTCATCACAGCTCATCCAAAACAAAGCTTCTTCTGCCGCGGGTCGTCACTCGGCGGTCTCGCGGGTGGTCTGCCGCGTTTCTTTTCTCCACCGACCTTGACCTTTTTTACGTCCGGCGTCGTCGACCTCGAGAGCGGCGCAGGGGGCATGTCCTCATGCACGGCTTCGCGAATGGTCTGTCTTGAAAGGCAGAGGTCGATGTGCTCGTTGAACTGCCGTTCATCCGGCGCTTGTGGGCGATTGCAAATTGGGCAATCCCACATCTCATCGTTGACGGGTGCGTATTCCCGCACAGGATTGGGTAGAATCTCCTTGCCGTGTCTCCTAGCTGGGCTTGGGTCGCTGTCGATGTTCGTACCATCGCTCTCGATGTCAACCGCTCGGAAATCCTCATGATTGTCAAGCCCCAAAAGTGATTCTTCAGGCCACCGCTCCCAGCCGTCATCGTCAAGTTCACCGCTGGCTCCAAAGTGCACAAGCCTGGGGGCCTTCTCGGGTGATGCCAGGGCATCAGGTCTTCGTGGTCTGAAACCAAAGAATGCCATCGTATCTGGCTTCTTCGTGCTGACAAGGTGGGTGCATCGTAGGCCCATTAGGCGCAGCATCATCCCCGGCATTTCCTCCTCCAACTTCGCCAAGATGGGAACGGAGAAATGATAAAGGTCGCCAGCCAGACATATTGCTCTTGGTAAGACGATTTGTCGCGTGAAGACCTCGTACGTGTGAAGCTTCACCTTGAGAACCAGCGTGCGACCCTTGACTTCTGCCCTCTTCATATCCTTCTCCAGCTCCTCCGCAGTCCACTTGAGCTTTTCTCTGAATTGCTGAGGATCAGACATATCTTTGAAAGTGCTCTCGGTACCGACACTCTTCCTCTCGTACTCCTCTGCCGGCTGGATTTTGGTGCGCCCCAGGCCAAGATAGACATTGATCAGGAATTCGTACGCCTTGTCGCCAAAGAGCGGTCGGAGGAATTGACGATAAGGATAGATGTCTGCGCAAGTCTTGATACCAATTTCGGCCAATTGCCGCTCAAGCACACGACCAACACCATTGACTTTTCTGGGGGAAAGCTTCGCCATGAAACGCAAGATTTCGCCTCGATCATTTGGCAGAACAAACTGGCCGTTTGGCTTGTTCATGTTTGAACAGATCTTGGCAAGCTTCGCATTTGCTGCGATACCCGCTGACACTGTGATCTTGGTTCTCTCGTGGACCTCTCGCCGCATCTGCTCCACGGCTTCGGCCGGCTCGATTCCCTTATTCGTGCAGTATTCCGTAATATTCAAGTACGCCTCATCAATACTCGCACTCTCGAATCGAGGGTCGTATTCGACTAGGATCTCGCGGACCTCGTGTGCCTTTGCAGTGTATTTCTCAAAGTTGAGCTTGAGCAGGACCAATTCGGGACATAGCTTCTTGGCGACGAACCCAGCCATCCCGCTCCGACATCCATACTTTCGCGCAACGTAATTACACGTTGTCAGAACACCGCCGCCAACAGCGAAGGGGATATCTTTGAGTTCGGGCCGGTCTAGGAGTTCAACGGCAGCATAAAACGCATCGCAGTCGACATGCACGATGTATTGAGTCAGGTCTCGGGACATCTCCAACTGTGTGATGAGCTGGTCAGCGAGGCGAAGTTCTCGACTGAGGTCTTGCTTCTCGAGGTGGCGTTTCTTTTCGAGGATCTGTTCAATCTTTTTTGTCAAGGTTTTGTCGCGTTCTTCTTCACGATTGAAGAATTTTGATCCTTTCGAGGCATTGTAGATGATATCGGATACCTGGTAGGCCACTGTTAGGGAGATTGGCACCCCGCCATAGGGCAGGCTGGAGACATACCTTGGTCTGATCGACAGCATCCTGCCCAGCTTTTGTAAGAGATGGACCCAAGAGGGAGTATTTGAGGGTGTCATGCTCCGAATCCCCATGGGCATCTTCTGGCACCTCGTCGAGGGACGGCGGGCCTGTCGCCGATGCCGTCATCCTGAAATGATGGACAACTTGTTAAGAGAAGCGTATGGAGATGCCGGAGCAACTATCGGGAAAGGCATGTCTCCTTAGTCAATGCCGTGTGTGTTGGTGGAGTATATTGCCGGTGCTGATAGTTTCACGTCACATGGGTGAGGATTGATGATGCCCCTCCACTCGCATGGCATTGATGGTTGCAAAGTGGCGACGCGTCGGATCCGTCTGGTTGCATTGTCAGCAAACTGGCGCGGGGTCACGTGGCGCTGATACGAGGTCTTATTCAGTTAACCACTAAATGCATTGACTGGAGTCTTTCCTCCATTTTGTATCACATTAAACATTATTGCTATTATGCAGTACTCCAGCTCCTAACGCCGCTTCCGGCTGGCCACAATCGCCTGCCGCTGTCTTTTTGATCATTCTTTTTGACTCAATGCCATCAACTCACTGTTACTCTAAGTTGAGCACGTGAAACTCTCAGCCTTCGACTGATCACCACCGCTGGTGAACTTTTGGGTTGATGGGTACGGGCAAATCGGCCTCTGTCTTAGGACCTCAGTAGTCGGATCAGTCGCGTTCTTCCACGTTGTTGCGATGAGCGAGTCCGGCGCGGCACCGCCGTCAACCCACTGCTGGAGCGCAAGAAGCGCATCGTGTGTCGCGTCGGAATAGCCTGGCACCGAGTAGTTGCCACCGCCGAGAAGCTGTTCCGCCTGTCCCGGTCCAGCGATGTACCAAGGCGCGTCGACGGTTGTGGTCTTGTGCTCCAGTCCTGGGAGGAAGAAGAGACGGAACCAAGCGCGAACGGCCTCGACGTCGCCGCCGGACTGCGCAACAACCTTGTCGTAGTAGACCTGCGATGCCTTAGCCGGAACATCAGCATCGGATAGGCCGTGGTACATGATGATCTTGCCGCCGAGGCTGGAGAACTTGGTTAGGTTGAAGGTGTTGACGTCTAGTTCGCCGGGGTTCGTTTCGTTGGCGTACGCGGGGACAGTCTCGTTGTAGCTTGACCACGCCCACTCCGCGTCATTGAAGAGGAAATACTTCATGTAGCCGACGGCCACCTCGTTCGGCTCAGAACCGTTACCGCCACCCAGCAGCGAACCCCATCCGTACTCGGAGGAGGGGCTGACGCCAGGGAAGACAGTTTCGTCGTTGACCTTGTAGTCAGCGTACAGCGCCTGAGCGACGGTGACTTGCTCAGCGAACAGACAAGCTGTCGCGTCCACACCATCTTTACCGCAGGTGAAGAGGTCATAGTTGATAGTGCAGTTGGCGGGGTCGCTGACGATGCTGTCCTCGACTCCGTCCGCTGCGTCGCACTGCTTTCTAACGGCATCGCCAATCACGGTGAACTTCTCGGCTGGGATATGCTTCGCATTATCGGTGGGCAGGTTGGTGATACCAATCGCGATCCTCCAGCTTTGCAAATGGCTCTGCCACCAAGCCGGGGCACCGATCAAGAGCGCCGAGTAGTCACGAGGGTACGTCTCAGCAGCCTTGAGACCCTGTCGACCGCCGTCTGACGTGCCGGAGAAGTAAGACGCAGTAGGAGCCAGACCGTAGTACTTCTCAACAACTCTCTGAGCCAGTGCGAGAGAGTTGTGCAACGCCCTGTGTCCGTAGTCGAGCTTGGCTCCATTGTTGTTCAGCGCCCAGGTGAGGTTGCTCTGGGTAGAGTTGTGACCGGCATCGGTTCCAAGTGTGACGAAGCCGTACTTGACGCCGACGGCCATGGCCGGAGCGTTGACGCCTCCCGAAAAGCCATCGTTCCCAACAGTAAGGATCTTGTTGTTCCACTCGTCTGGCAGGAACATGGCAAACTTGTACTCATTTCCTTCCGATGTCTTTGCGATGAAGCTCACGGCGCAGAGACTGGGCAAGTTCGTGACATTACCCGGGAAGGCGACGTTGCCCTCCTCGGAGAAGCCGTTGCCCGCATCGACCGACTCGACCGTTGAGATGGAGGCGTTGGCGTTGATCCAGTAGCTGATTAGCCTCGGGGTGCATGATGTTGAGTTCGTAGCAGCAACCTGCCGCAACGCGGCAAGCGCAATCGTGAGGGAAGCACTCCACTTCATCTTTGATCTTTGGTCAAGGAATCCTTAAGACGATGGAGCAACAGAGTCCTTGGCTTCCGCGGGCAAACCCCGCTATTTAAGATCCGCAACATTGGAATGAGTGATTTTGAAGATTTGTTGACCATGTTTCCATTTTGCCACATATCATCGCATCAAAAGCAGCCTCTGTTTACTTCTACACCTCTGTTTGCGGCTGGCGTCTCGGGCTCTCGGCGCTCATCTGACGATGGAAGTTGACATTCCTGCACGACCAATGAACTTGCCAGTCCTGAGACATCCTCTTTCCGCTCTCGGCTCCGTCCAATGAATGATCATGATCACTGCCCGAAATAATGCGCATCATGCCATGCGTTTTTCCGCTCGCGGCTATCTTTGCGCTAACATTAACTAGATTAAAGTTGTTGCTAGTACGAGCTACCAGAGGCCCGGATCGAGGGCATGTTCGTCAAACTGCGTCTTGCCGCAGGCAGTGAGGTGGTGGGGTTTGCTTCCTACCTGTGTCGGCTGGTTGACTGTTCAGATCACGAATCAACAAGCAGAACACGACGAATGCCTGAGGGAGGTTGTATCCGTAAGAGCCATTGAATCAATACTACGTGTTCTAAAGAGTGTAGGGGCCAGCACACGAACAACTGATCGAGCGACGTTCTGAAATCTCATTCGGGAAAGATTCCCAAGACCGTTGCGGGGAATGTCAACCGAGGAATGAAAGAGCAGCGCAGGTCCGGCGAGAATGAAGAATGAAGTCGCAAACAAGGAACCGCGAAGCAAGGTAACTCCAGAAGTATGAAGTCCACCACCAAGACTTGCCTTACCTACACGGCGCCTGTTTATCACCTTTTCTCATGCGGCAAGACTCATTGAGGTGACGCGATACATAGTCTGACCTTCCTAGTTCTTCCCCGCAGTCAGGGCACTTGTATGGTCCGTCGACTCTTACATGGTTGGTGTTTCGGTGACGAAGGAGGTCTTTCTTCTCCGCAAACTTAGCTGGGCATCGATCAGGAGTGGCTCTCGGCATGCTAAATAGACACTTGTATGGCTTCGTATGTCTTTTCATATGTTTGCTGTATCATTATTAGCTCTACTTCCATCCCAAACGTAGTACTGGGAACCCCACGACCTACTTGAGATTGTGTTGTCTAGGGAAGCCTTTCCCACATCTGCTACATTCATACTTGGTTTCCTCCATTGTACGTTCGGCCAGTATCATTGCTTCTTCGTCTTGTAACTTCCACTCTTCTGGAACCTGCGATGGTCGCACGTCGGGACAGTGACTCTCGTTCTGCGACCATCCACCTTCAGGAGTCTAATATCCTGAGGTTGCAGTTCCGGAAATGGGGACGAAGGACATAGAGTTGTGTGAATCATCGGTTGATCCACCGAACATTGGGATGCCCAAGTGATGGCCCCTATCCTGAGAAGGTAAATTCTCGGCATTCATATGGCTCCCGTCTTCAAAATGGAAACCCCCTTGGTCGACTTCTTCAAAGAGCTCGTACTCATGAGGGGCTTCTTGCGCGTAATTGTTCATTGCGCCAATATCCAAGCTGACGCTGCCAAAATTATGGACTACAGCCTAATCAGCAGTGTGTCCCCCTCCATGTGCCGTTTGGACGACATAGAGCGACCAGGAAACGAAACTCACAGCGTTGTAAGCTACCACGACCGAGTGAGACGTCCTTGGAATTCGAGGAATGTAAAATCTTGTCCCCGCCATTCAGGCCAAGTTTTGCAGCGGTCTCGCACATTAGTTCCATCGACTCCGTTTCTTACACGCCTGCACTGGCTTAAAGGGGTCACTCTGAGTTCCAAAATGATCATTTACAACTCAGAATGGACAGGTTGTGTAAAGCGCTGATTAATGTTATTGAAAAGGCTCGGCGAACGGCTCAAAATGACATAGGGTGGTACTGGGGTCTTGCTTTGTCCCGGAAGGATATGAAGGACTGAATGGGACAATTCCAAAGCAGGGCGCAAGTCTCACATGATATAGTCACAGAGTACGAGCGATGAGAGATGCCCTGACGTTAGTTCTCCAATTTCCATTCACTATGAAAGGTAGCGCTGTTGGTTCGATAACATGACGAACAACTTACGCCATATAGCACCAGATAACCTATTAAGTTGAGGTACTGGTAGAAAGGCGTACTATGTTGTTGGAAATGGTGAGGATAAACTCGCCGATACTGGCTTGGAAGCCAGGCGTAGAGATCCAATCTTACGTGTCGAATAGTACCTAAAGCCTGACGCCAACCTCAGCACATTGTTCGCGCTTCCATCGGCCAATGGTCATGTCGAAGTGTGCATTAGAGCGGTCGGCCTCGGACCTTAGCTGTTAACTAGCTTCTGGCCAAAACAGCTGAAGCCAATCATAATGCCGATGGAGTTATCGGGTTTTCGGTGAGATGCGGCTTGGGGGCAGGCAAGGCAACCTCAAGTGTGGCCGGCAGACAAGCTAAGTGGTTGGAAGACACCGCACATCCAATGTTGGTGGTCTCGTTCTGCATTTTGATACATCAAACCGGCATGTTGCATCAAGGATCAAGTGCGAGTGGATGTGTCCTCGGCTGTATTGGACTCAATGCTGCCGACTTCCTCTGCCTTCCTTTAGGCAACCGAGTGTTGGCGGAGTTCTGGCGGGTTAGGCTCCCATAAATGAAAGCGCTTGGGCTTTCGTTCTCAACGGTTTTGAAACTCATTTTCGCCAAACCTTTGGGGAAAGAAATCTGTGTTACGAAGTAGATTCTCCGTTGATTGCCAGAACATAATACGGCCTAGGTACTGGGCTTGTCTACGATGGCAAGCAAGGAATTGATGTCGGGGAACCCGGTAGTTCCCCGTAGACACGAACTTACGAGACTCTCCCTCATGATCCGAAACTAGTTTACTAATACCTGAATCGAAAGGAACCGTGGCGGTAGAAGGCATTGGTGTGATCGCTGTCAAACTTCGAGATAGGTCGGTTTGGTTGTACGAGGCTTTGGTCCTGCTATGTGGTCTTAATGAGGCCTGTAGAAGGATGCAGAATGGACAATATCGGCATGCTGCTGAAATGGGCGTACCCGACGGCAGCTCTCGAACAATTCTGGAGTTCTTTATCAACAAAGTGGCTCAAGTCTGTGATAACCGACCATTCGGGTCCACGATCACATCCCTTGCCATCATTCAGAAGCCTGACAAGGTGCAATACATCTTTTCATCCAACCAGCGGAGCTCGGAAGATGCTCAATATGCAGCCACGACCATCCAAATCCTCCTTGACAAAATGGGTTCACGGAATCGCGTCGACGTTGGAGACGATGATAGGTCCCCGGTCTTTCGCGAACTTATTCGCGACATACTCCTATTTCATAAGCAGCGAGTTACTCTGTAAAAGTCGCGACTTAACCAACGACTGAATCAATGCATCAAAGAATTGAAGGCTAGGTCCTTGGACGCGGGTATGTTTCCCTTGACCAAGTCAGTGGCGTCTTTGGTGTTCAACTATCCAACTTGGTTGATCAAATAGTTGTTTCTCTAGGAGACCCTCTACTCGATGAGCTAGAATATCTCCAAGCTTTGACCAAGACCGAGGTGCCTTTGGATGGCAGTGAAGGGTGTAAGTCTGGTCTAGGCTTCCCTTGATGTTTGGAAGAGTAATGCTAAATCGGCCCCTTATTACAATGCAGTCGCTCGCAACGGTGAACACCTGATTTTAGCTGCAAACACCTTTCGCAAAAGTCTGATGTACGAATCGGTCATTGAAAGAGCCCGGGAAGGACGCTTCAACGAGTCCGAGCGCTGGTGTCAGCTACACCACTTCATCGGACGGCTTTCTTCGTATCACGGTGCTATTCGGGCTATCATTTCCGGCCGCAGACGTCTCCACCCGGACCTGTTCGAAAATTTCGAAATAACATGGCTGCCGTCAAGTATACCCATGAATAATCCGATGGACACACTCCAAAGCCATATGGGTATGAAGACGCAACAAAAGAGGCGTTCGGCGGACAATATTATCAGGAAAATGATGGGAAACTCGGCGGACCGTGATACGACTCTCGAACAGGCCAAAACTCTTCAGGTCTGTGGCTTGGATGAGTCCATCATGCATCAGTGTCAAAGGACGTCTTTCAAACCCATAGTTCATTGCGAAATTTTGTTATTGCATTATCTGGATCAAGAGTATTGCCGAAATCGCTATCACATCCCGTTCTTCGACGACGTCAAATTTATAGGCTGCAGTAAACCTACCTGCCGGCTGTGCGAATATTACTTCGCTGCTCATAATACAGACATCCAAGTTCGTCCCGGACACAAGAATGTCTACTCAAATTGGACTATCCCGAATCTTTTTGCCAACGACTTGGCTGAAGCGAATGAGAGAGACAGCGTGCTCGACAAGGTCGTCAGCAAGATTAGAGAGGATGCACTTCGCGCTTTGAGAGAGAAAATACCCGATGGCAAAAGATTTGACTCAGACACTCACTCATCTTACCCAACACATCAGTCGCTGAAAACCAATGGTCAGCCAAACATGGATGGGCTAGCGTCCGCATTGGGAGACTTAACTCTCGTTAACCCAGCCGACATGGACGATTTTCAATCCTTATCAGAAGAAAACCGGAGCATCTTCTTAGAAGCAGAGGGAAACGAGACAGATGAAGATGATTGGGCAGGCTATGGCCATGCTGAACATTCTGGTGGCGTGTCTCTTCAGGGTTGAGGAAGGCCTCGGTTGTTTTTTACATGTATATTTCCCTGCCTTTTTTCTTTTCCCCATGACTTACCTTTCGTCCTCTTGTGCGAGGGAATGCTATAGGTGGTGAGCATGCTTGATACTCATAAATTTTCAAACATCGTCCATTCCTGCTTCTGCCTTTTGAAACCGCTGCCTGCTTCACATGTGAAGCATTTTCGAATATGCTGCTTGGTTTCTGTCAACAGCTGAATATGCGATGCTGACGTTGGTCATATACTACACTTCTTGAGGCACGACCAGAAGCGAGTCGTCCTCTTTCGTAGCATCCGCTTAGGTTGTGCAGCCTCTTTTGCCATTGTAATTGTATGAACGGACGGGCGTGAATGGACGGGTGTGAACCCCGTTGCCCGAAGCAAGCAAGCAAACATCTGTAGTAAAAGATCAAGCCTGGGGTGAGTGATTTTGAGCGTTATTATGCCCTGAATCGAGAGAGCGCAACGGGTTTCTTAAGTTCCTTCGAAGGGCATGACTTAGAGTATTACCGTCTCAGACTCACAGAAATCCACTGGCGGGAGAGGTAGCATCAAATAAGCCTGCGTAGCTCGGTCTCGGTTCTGAGGGAGTCAAATAGCGTTGAACACTGCTAATCGGACCACTCTCATCCTTACCTCTCGGAGCCGGTTTCCAATCCCTCGCTACAGCGGGTCATCCTACCAGAGAAGATCTCTGCCCATTCGGAGCCGGCTTTTCATCGACGGCCGTCGCAAGTCGGCAGCAATCTCCTCTCCGATCAAGTGATCTCAACTTCAGCCTCAAGATGTGGCACGTTCAATAAACTTCGGCAGCCCGCCCGGCTGGTCATGCTAACAATCGATGACTTAGCTAGGCTTCCCGCAACAGAAGCCAGTCTACTGATCGCATTCGCCATCACTATCTTTATTTGCTCTAAGCCGTATAAAGAAATCGCACAGACTTCCGTCTCCAAGTAAGCCCTCAGACTCTCCTGCCAGTTCCCCGAATTGGTAGGCTGTCAAGGCAACTGTGACCCGCGACGGCGTTTCATCCCATCTACGACGTTGATCGGAGCTCCGTTATTCCCTCAAACGGGAGTTGCTCAAGGCCAGAACCTGACCCGGGCGTCTGGATCAGCTCCAGATGGTTTGATGTGGACCTTGCTAGTATGACGGGATCTTCGCGATTGTCTACCTGCAGAGGACGGATGCCGCAGCGTCGCAAGATCTGAAGCGCTCACAGCAAGCTCTACCAGATACGTCCACTCCAGCCGGCTGCCGGTGAGACCCAGATCTTTGGGACGTCGTCCGGCGTGGGAAACATCCCAACATCTTAAACGTTCATTGCATTTTCATAAAAGACCTTGATGCCCCCTGGTGAATGTAAGCGTGAACCAAGTGACTTGTTAATCCGGTCTGGCACCTGTCCATCTGTTCTGTTTGATTCCGATCTCGTTTCACTCATTTCTCCCTCAATCTCTCTCGCTCTGGTCAGCGAAGGTCGTGAGGATGAGGGCCTTTTTTGTCGTGGGCTCATTGGTGCTCAGCACTGTGGCTGCGGCGCCAGCAAATGATGTCCAAAAGAGAGACCTCCAAACCATTCAGGGGGCGTTCGTGTCCATTTCAGTGGCATCATCGAACTTGGATACAGCCATTAGAGTAAGTTGGCTTCGAACAACAGGCTTTGAATTGTTTACACACTAATCGAGGGGTCCAATTCACTAACACGATATCAGGCTTTGACACCCGATCCCAACAGCGCTTCTGCTCTCGGCCCGGCGATGATGGGACTAGAAGGTGCACTTGCCCAAGCCCGTACTGATGTTGCGCCGACCTCACCGATCGGAATCTCTGACGGCATCGCTCTTCAGAACGCCGCCGATACTTTGACGAAGAGCGTGAAGATCATGGTCATGTCAGCAATGCTCCAGCGCCAGACGCTCGACCAGATCAACATGACGCCGATGCTTCTCCAATCTTTCATGAACCAGAACATGTTGTCGGCTGCACTTGGCCAGGTCGTTCTTTCCAAACTTCCTGCGGAGGGGCTCCAAAGCGCCATGGCCGCATTTGCCGGAGCTGGTGGCTCAGTTGGAATGGGAATTGTATCGCTAGCCAACCCCCCTTTGGCGATGCCTCCCGGTATGGGTCCTCCCATGGGTGGCGCCCCTCCAGCAGCTATGCCAGCCACTGGGGCCCCTCAGACGGGTTCGCCGCAGACAGGTTCTCCAGGAAACTCCTCCCAGTCTGGCCAGAGAGGCTCCCCTCAGATGAGCTCACCTCAAACCGGATCTCAGCCCGCGGGCGGCAGTCAGGGACAGGCGGGTAGCGCAGCGAGTAGTGTGTCGGTGAGCCAGGCTCTGGAGGGCAACGTTGTGGCGCTTTCCTGAACATCGCCAACTAGCAGTTGAGCTGGTGTTAAACATCGTTCAGATCGCAATGAAATGCGTTAGAGTTTGGAAGAGAATTGATGTGGGACGAGATCAAGTATTAGGTACTGTTGCGCAATTCAGCGAAGTCACTCGTTTGGTTGTTCCTTCAAGAATTGTTTTGCACCGTGAATCCGTTGTTTAACTGTCAGAGACTCGCATAGCATAAAATAATGATCTATGAATAACATTTGATCTAACTGGACTAGCCGCTCTGCAATTCGCGTGTAACTAACGAGTTTTCACTGATGTGATCCCGAGACTTTGGCTTCGAAGCAATACTTCTCTGGAGGTAACGGAAAAACAAAGTATTGTGAGCGAAAGGCTCTCATGATGGCTTTGGAACGAAATAGACACATACACAGAGACATATTGGTGGTATGTCAATTACGTATATCCACCGCAAAAGTCTTGAGGCTTCACCAGCATTTTTTGATCCTTGTGTCAAAGATGTCGAAATAAGTCCAATGGTTGAAGTTTAGACACTACTCATACTGTTAATTTAGTATGATAGCTTGCCGCGATTAATCAAACTTCACCATATTGAGTTAAGGAGACTGAACCTCTCAATTCTATGACTTCCGGGAGTCCGTGGCCTGAATTGGTAATTTGTCTCATTGGACGAAAGCAAGTCTATTTCCGCGCCTAACATGAACCCTGTCTGTACTGAACTAAGCAGACCATTTCATGTGTTCCTCTCTACGCCTAGCCCTGGGGAATATCCGAAACGCCGACGGCCGTCTAATAACAGTTCTGCCCACACCAGTGATCGAAATTCAACCCTCAAAGACAAATCAGCAACAAAACTCTGCTTGGCATATATAACTCCGTTACTGTGGCAAAGCTGATTCAGCAGCAACCAGCAATACGGTCAATCGGAAAAGCTGGTCTGTAACAATGGACACTGAAGTTGGCGATGGTGATAGGGTCGATGTAATAAAGGAGGAGCTCAAGGTTGGTCCAAGTATTGATGTAACGCCGTATGTGGCGGAACCGTCTACCGAAATAGTTGGCGATGGACTTTCGGATGGAAAAGAAAGCGTAGGAGTGGGTGATGCCAACGTTGCGTCCGTTGCCAAGTTGTCTGTAACGGTTGCTGTATTCGTTGTCGATGCCGAGGCTGTTGATGACAGTATGTTTGGCAAGTTCGATGCGACGGATAGTGAAGTGAGGTCCGAGATTGGAGTCGAGCTCAAAGAACTCGTATCTTGGCTTGCTTGGATGGAACGGGACCCGGACGTCGTGCTTGTGATCAAGTCTAAAGACGGAGATTGCGTGATTGAAGAGGTTGGATTTGAGACGGAATCCACATTGCTTGTCAATGGGTTCGAAGTAGATGCTGATGTTGATGTGAACGTCGTGTTCGCAAATGAACCAGTCAGAGAGACTGTCTCACTTGTTGACGATGGACTTATAGAAGAACTGCTGGTGGGCTCTGTGCTTTCAGAGGCCGCAACAGTCGTACTACCGAGGAATGTTGTACTGAGAGAAAAGGTGCTGTCCGTTATGCTACTTGACAGTAGACTTGTAAGATCCGAGGACGTGCCGCTCAAAGTGAATGTCAGGATCGTTGTTGAGTCAGAAGAAGTCAAGGTGACGAGTGTGTCGGTACTAGAGAACAGTTCGGTTGTCGAGCTGCTACTCAACGTGGGGATATCTGTCGATGAAAGAGAGGTCGTTGGTAAAACAGACGTCACTGAGGGGAGACTCGTTGATGACTGAGAGTTTGTCGACGATAGAGAGCTCACAGACGAGGCAAGACTGATTGAAGATGACAAAAAAGTCGAAGACGTCGTTCCTGTCGAAATTGAGCTTATAGAGGACGTCGAGGAGTTAGAAAAGATCGTGGAAAGAGCAGTTGTGGAAGTTGAGCTGCTTGATGATAGTGTCGTTGAAAGGGTGGAAGTCGTTGAGCTCAGGCTTGAAGAAGAAATTGAAGGAGAAAACGACGTTGGAACACTGAACGTTGCTGGCTCAGTGCTTGACGTAGTGGTGTCAGCCGTAGACGTAGATGATGTGAGGAAAATTGAAGATGTAGAAGAGCTAGTCGTGTTTGCGAATGGACCCCCGGTTGATGTTGAAGAGAGCTGTGTATTGCTGGTCACTTCGATGCTGGTAGTTGTGAGGGACGAGGCCGTGATAGATTCGGAAGAAGTGAAAGAGGACGTCGGACTTGCGGTTGACGACAGGGACAACAAAGAGCTTGATGAGCTTGCAGAAGAGACTGACGAAGGGGTTGAAGTCGATAAGAAACTTAACGCAGTTGATGAGAAGGTGGACGTGGATGAGGTAGATGATGGAGTGGACGATGAGGGAGATGAGGGAGATGATGAGGGTGGAGTTGACGATGAAGTCGATAAGATTGAAGAGGAAGTTGAGGATGTGTCTGTTGTGGACTCTGAGCTTGTTAAAGGAATCGAAGAAGAGTCTGAAGACGAGGTCGACGATAAAGTCAAGGGTGAGGTTGAATCAGAGGCCGAGGAGGATGATGACAGGGAAGTTAAAGAGGAAGTCGAGGGGGGGGAGATTGAGGATGGGTCTGTGGTGGACTCTGACGTTGATGCGATCGTCGAAGAAGAAGTTG